CCGCCGTCCCTTGCACCACCGTGCGGTCCTTGCGTCGAGGGTAGGCTGCGTGCCACCCCTCACTCCTCCTCCCTTCGTCCGGCCACCGAGCCTTTTGAGACGCTGCACTTGGACGTCTGGGGCCCCTCTCCTCGCCCTGGCCCTGAGCGTGAGCGTTTCTTTTTGGTGGTCGTTGACGACTACTCCCGCTACACCACAGTGTTCCCCCTGGCGAGGAAGTCTGAGGTGACTTCTACGCTGATCAGGTGGTTGCTTACCACCCAGGACACTCGTGGTCGTCGTGTCAGCTGTCTCCACTCCGACCGCGGGGGCGAGTTTCGCTCCGGCATTCTCGCTGGATTCTGTCGCGAACAGGGCATTCGTCAGTCCTGGACGCTTCCGGAGTCCCCACAGCAGAATGGGGTTGCTGAGCGTCGCATAGGCCTGGTCATGGAGATTGCCCGCACCTCCTTGACTCACGCCCGTGCCCCCCATTTCCTGTGGCCATACGCAGTCAGGTACGCCGCGCACCAGCTGAACCTCTGGCCACGCGTCTCTCGGCCGGAGGCTTCACCGACCAGTCTTTGGACAGGGTCCCCTGGTGTCGCGTCGAGGTTTCGTGTCTGGGGGTGCTTGGCTCTTGTCCGCGACACCTCCGCGGACAAGCTCTCGCCTCGCGCCGTTCCTTGTGTTTTCCTTGGTTTCCCTGAGGACTCCTCTGACTTCACCTTTTACCACCCTCCCTCTCACCGGTTCTTTGACTCCCGTGACGTCCGTTTCGAGGAGTCCACCCCGTACTACGTCAGGTACCCCAGTCGAGGTCTCCCGGTTCCTCCTCCCCCCCTCTTCCTGACCGCCGCTCCCCCGCCTGCTCCCCCGGTACAGCCTCCCCCCCCTGGTCCAGCCCCGTCTGGTGTGTCTCAGGCTAGCCCTCCCCCTTCGGTAGCCCCCCCTGTACAGCCTCCCTCCCCACAGTCTTCCTCACCGCCTCCTGTAGGTGCTCCCTCTCGGGAGGTTGGTCCTGCGACTGTCCCTGTACAGGTCTCTGGTTCTGGGGGTGCTGGAGTTGGAGCTGAGCCGCGGGTTGCAGAGGACTCTTCTCCTCCGGGGGCTGGTACTGGTCGTGCGGAGTCTGGGGGTGCTGGTGCTGCGTCTGGGGGTGAGGGTGTTCCTTCGGTTTCTGGAGAGCCTGGGTCTGGAGCTGGTGTTGGTGCTGCCTCTGGGGGTGGTGTGCTTGGTGCTTCGGAGGTCGACTCTGGGGCTGCCGCTGCCCCGGACACTACTCCTTCCCCCCACCCCTACCCGACCAGGTTCCAGGCTCGTGTTCGCCGTGCTCGTGAGGAGCAGCTGGAGTTAGAGAGAGAGGAGAGAGAGTTGCAGCGGCTCGAGGAGCAGGAGCGACAGCAGCAGGAGCAGCAGCAGGAGCAGCAGCAGGGGCAGCAGCCGCTGGAGCAGCAGCAGCCGCAGCAGCCGCAGCAGCAGCAGCTGCCGTCTCCTCCTCCTGTCTCGGGTCTTCGGACCCTTGGTCTCCCCTCTCCCTCTCCTTCCTCCTCCCCCTCTCCTCCCGTCTCTGGTCCTCCGCTTCCTCCTCCTGACCCCTCTCCCGCTGTTTTCCCTCGTTCTCAGTCTTCGTTGTCCCCTCCTCCTTCTCAGACTTGGGCCTCTCGTCGCTCCCCTCGTGCTCGTCCCTCGTCTCCTGTTCCCTTCACTGACCTTCGTACTGCCTTACTTCGTTCTAGTCCACCTCGTCCGTCTCCGTCTGTGCTTCCGTCTCCTCCTGAGTCGGCTCTCACTGCGTCGCTCCCTACTCCTGTCACTGACTACTACCGCACGTACCGTCCTCTTCTCTCTCGTGTTCTCGCCTCACTTGTTACTCACCCTCGTGCCTCTGTGTCCTCTGTGTCCGCTCTTACTGCCGCAGTCACTGAGTTTGCCTCTACCCGCCGCCTTGACTTCGCCACCGCTCTTGTGGCTGCTCCTCCTTCCAGTCCTCTGGCCGTCGGGGGTGTGTCTGCCCTTGGCTATGACGCCCTAGAGGACAGGCAGTTTGAGCTAGAGTTCCTGGCGGCCGCTTCCCCTCATCTCTGTGCCATGCTCCTCGCCCCTGAGGGTGACCCCGACGCCCTTGACATTCCGACTCCTCGCACTTACGCTGAGGCAGTGTCAGGGCCTTGGGCCTCTCAGTGGAGAGCTGCCATGGACGCAGAGATGGCCTCCTACAGATCCACAGGCACCTACGTCGATGAGGTTCCCCCTCCGGGGGCGAACGTAGTCGACGGCATGTGGATCTACAGGGTGAAGCGGCCACCGGGATCTCCTCCGGTCTTCAAGGCGCGCTACGTGGCTAGAGGTTTCAGTCAGCGCGAGGGAGTTGACTTCTTTCAGACCTTCGCGCCCACCCCGAAGATGACCACTCTTCGGGTGTTACTACACGTAGCAGCACAGAGAGACTACGAGTTACACTCTCTCGACTTCTCTACTGCTTTCCTTCAGGGCAGTCTTCACGAGGAGGTCTGGTTGCGTCGTCCCTCTGCCTTCACTGGCTCTTTCCCTCCTGGGACCCAGTGGAGGCTGAGGCGACCGGTTTACGGTCTTCGTCAGGCTCCTCGTGAGTGGCACGACACCCTGCGTTCTACCCTGTCTGACCTTGGGTTCCAGCCGTCTTCTGCTGACCCGTCGCTGTTCGTTCGTCGTGGCACCACACCTTTCTTTGTTCTGGTCTACGTTGACGACCTTGTTTTCGCCACCCCTGACAGGGTTGCTTTGGCACACGTGAAGTCCGAACTGCAGAAGAGACACACCTGCACTGATCTTGGTGAGCTGCGCCACTACCTTGGCCTGCAGATCACCAGGGACAGAGCTGCTCGCACCATTACACTTTCACAGTCGCACATGGTGCAGCAGGTCCTTCAGCGGTTCGGGCTTCAGCACTCCACAGTACAGCGCACACCTCTTGCTGTTGACCACAGACTCACTGGACCCTTTCCTGACGAGCCGTTCGAGCCTAGTGGTCCCTACGCTGAGCTTGTGGGTTGCCTCATGTACCTGATGACTTGTACTCGCCCGGACCTCGCCTTCCCTCTCAGCGTTCTTGCGCGCTTTGTTGCGCCAGGGAGACACCGTCCTGTTCACTGGACAGCAGCTGTGAGGGTGGCGAAGTACCTAGCGACGACGTCAGGCGTGGGGCTAGTTCTTGGAGGGCAGCAGTCTGTCGTACTTACTGGTCACTGTGACTCCTCTTACGCTGACGACGCTGAGACTCACAGGTCTACTCAGGGGTACTGTTTCAGCCTGGGTTCTGGAGCTGTTTCCTGGCGGTCCACGCGCTCCTCTTCGGTCTCGACCTCTACAGCTGAGGCTGAGATCTACGCTGGTGCCATGGCGGCACAGGAGCTGCGTTGGTTGACCTTCTTGCTCACCGACCTTGGTGAGCGGCCGAGCTCTGCACCGACCTTGTTCACTGACAACAAGGCGTCTATTCTCCTTTGTCGAGAGCCACGACTGGAGAGCAGAGTGAAGCACATTCACGTCAGGTACTTTCTTCTGCGAGAGTTGCAGAGGCGTGGACAGGCTCGCTTTGAGTTTGTGGAGTCCGAGGCCAACACTGCAGACATCTTCACCAAGGCGCTTCCGCCTTGTGACCACCAGAGGTGCTGTGTGCAGTTAGGCCTTGTTGACACTGGTTCTCGTGTTGCTTAGACTTGAGTGTACTGTTTACTTTGCTTTCTATATATCTCTGTTACTTCTTGGACTGGCCTTGTGGCCACTGTTGTTTGTGCTCAGATTGTGTGGTGACGTTGTGATCCACCCTGAGCTTTGTTTCTTGGACTGGTCTTGTGACCGTACTCGTTTGGTTCTGCTAGACACCCCTCACTTAGGCTATGGGGGTGTGTCAAATGTTGTAGCCTATAGTGAGGTTTGTCTTAGGGGGTACAAAACTTAGGGTTAGCTATATGTACCCCAACCAACATCAATGCACCATCCATTCTTCATTCTGACACGATCGCATCGCAACCAACCAACGCCACCTCTCTCAGCAATTCGTCGAGGCCATCAACCTTAACAAGACTCAGCACGCCTTCACCGCTCCTAACTACACATGTCTCAGTAAACCCAACTGTAATGAAGCACGTTGCCATTGCAAGAGCAGAAAGCAAGCTTTCTCAATATGAATTTTTTTGAAAGTGTGTAACACTTTCTAAAAATGTGTATTGTGAAAGCGCAGCTTACTGTAGCGAAGCAAGGCAACGGCGAATTACTATTCGCCGAGTACATAACGAGGGTTGGAGGCCTTTTGGCCTCCACCCACGTCTTCATTTCGGAACTTTGCAGTTCCATCCCCCACCCACCCACCCTAGTCGTATCTTTGTATAATCTATAGTTAGGTTGGACGAGAATGATGTAATCACTGCAACTGTAATGAAGCACGTTGCCATTGCAAGAGCAGAAAGCAAGCTTTCTCAATATGGAACCTTTCTCTCCCTCTCCCACCCCAACACACCGAAGGGGACATACCAGTAGGTAGATGTTAGAAATTGTATTTCTTTATATAACTGCATATTAGTATAGCTAGTGTAGTATGTATTCTCTTGTTGGTGGTATACCCCTCCTGACCACCTTCCCTAACCCTATATCATGTATCTCTCTCACTAGTCCAACCCCTTCCTTTGGCCAAACTTCTCTCCATCCAAACCCTAAGTTCCTAGCTCTCTAAGTTCCTAGTCCCTAGCTTCTTAACAGTAGATAATACAACATATACATAATATAACATTTACAGATGCATGTACATGTATCTGGACATCACCCGCAGCACCCATGACCACTCCACTCACTGCCACTAGTACCACCTCACAGTCCTCCGCAGCACACAAACTGATCACTGGTCTAAGGCAAGCAACATCAACAGAGGGCCCCCTGCACCCACTCCAGTCCAGAGAGCCTCTCTGGTAACGGAGTGACTGGTCACGGCAGTGGCAAGCACGAAACGCCCTCTCACTGCTCCTCGTGCTCTTCGTCAGCCATCAGGCATTGCAGCCACCAGCAATCAGCGACCAGGGCAATCTGAGCTGCGGGGATGCAGCAGCAGAGTAAGAGCAGAAGAGGAGGCAGCAGGAGACACAGATCTGCTGGGCCAATCGTGCAGCAAAGTTTTCAAGCGAAAAATGAGGAGAGTAAGAGGCAGTAACCATACACACACACAGAGGCGGATGCCACCCATCCCATGCCCCACACACACATGCGTGTGGCACGTACGAGGGGAGAGCAGAGAGGCGCAGCGCCCAGGCGATGTCCCACCCGTCGTCCTGATTGAGGTGCACCTCTGCTGCCACCACGTTCACCCCGTCCACCAGCTGTGGTGCTGCACCCGCTCCTGGCAGCTTCACCATCGCCTCCGTGTAGATGAACCCATCGTTGTTGTCGTTGATTGAGTCCTTGTCCGAGAGAGCCTGCACGGAGGGGCAACAGGGAACGACAAGGGCAGCAGGAGGGCCAGGAGGGGTTGGAGTATTGTGAGCAGGGTGGGCTTTGAGCGGGCGCGTTCAGAGCGGCGTGAGGTGAGGGGCGAGGGGCGAGGGGCGAGGGGCGAGGGGCGAGGGGCGAGGGGCGAGGGGCGAGGGGCGAGGGGCGAGGGGCGAGGGGCGAGGGGCGAGGGGCGAGGGGCGAGGGGGGAGGGGCGAGGGGGGCGTGGGAGTGACGTACAGAGGTGGCGTTGGTGACATCCCCTTGGGGCATGTTGAGGCGCAGCACTTCACGGTTGTTGATGTAGACAATCACACCATCGTTCACCGGCATTTGAAACAGCAGGTGGGAGAAGCACGCTGAGTTGGTGAGGGTGAAGGACTTGCGGAAGTAGTATGTGGTGCGCTTGTCCCATGATGGCTGGATTAAAAACGTGCCCACCATGTTCCATTCCCCTGTTGGCAGGATAGAGCAGAGCACACAGCACACAGCAAGGGGGGGAGGAATGGAAGTGGTGCTTTGGTAAGGAGGCAGGGAGGAGTGTGAGTGAGAGGTCGTGGGCGATGGGAGAAAGCAGAGGAGCAGGGCAGCATGGCACGGCAAGGTACAACACAGTGGTAGGAGTCCGCAGCAGCAGTGGCAGCGACGGGCGGCGGTGGCGGATGGCTCAACCACACCGCAGTCCACCGCAATGCACCGCACCCGAGAACATCCGTGCACGAGCGTGAGCGCGAGCACGAGTGCTTACAATCCACGTAGGCGAGAGGGGCAGGGCCTGAGGGCCAGGAGGAGTCAGGGAAGTTGGGGTTGTAGAAGGCTGGACCGCCGGGGTAGCGCGGATGGAGCTCTCCCCCCTGCTGGTTGTAGCGCCACACTGCCCGCGGTGCCACGAGGCCACAGCGCCTGTGAGGGAGAGAGGAGTCAGGGGGTAAGCATGAGGTGAGTAATCAATGGAAGGGAAGAGAGGGGGCGAGGGAAAAGAAGCCACGACGGAGTTTTGTGTGTGGGCAGAAGGCAAGGAAGAGGTGTGATGTGCTGTGCTGTGCAGTGCCGTGACATGGCAGGCAAAATGCAGTGCTATGCCATGCTATGCAGTGGACTGGCAGCATGTGACTCACGTAGGGGCGGAGCAGGGCGCAGGGGGGTCCTGGGAGAGGGAGAAGGCAGCAGGGAGGTAGTAGCCCACATCGCCTGAGAGAGACACCTGTGCCTGCTGCTGCTCTGCTTCCGCATCACACTCGTATGAGAACAGGACGGGTGCAGGCTGAGTGGTGCCTGCACAGGGCCTGCAGGGAGGAGCCGAAGGGTGGAGGGAGGGAGGATGGGGGGAGGTGGGAGAGGAGAGAGGTTGGAGAGAGGGGGGGGACGTCAGGTGGGGGGAGAGCAATGGGGGTGGATTGCTCAATGAGAGAGAGAGAGCTTGCAACGAGAGAGGAGGAAAGAGACAAAGAAAGCAATAACAAACAAACAAACGAAAAATATACAAAAATTGATAAGAAAACCTACAGCCACGCGGCGTTATCTGCCATCTTGGCGGCCCACTGCGTGTCACCCCCAGCAGGCGCCTTGAGGCGCACCGTCACAGCCCCTCCACAGCCCCCCCCAAAGTCCTTATCCACGCCATCCCCAAAAAACACATCCACCTCCCCCAGCTGCCACTCCTCCTGCCCATCCGGCCCCACCACCTCCACCACATACACCTCCCCTGCCAGTGCTGTGAACCCGAACAGCCGCTCCGCCTTCCCACCGCCCTCCTCCAGTTCAATATGATCCGAGTTCCCGTCGAACGTCTGCTGTGCGCCGTCACTCACGCGCACCACCTTGATGAAGCTCATCACGCCATGGGCCTGCATGCGGTTGGTGTTGGCTGCAGTGGCGGGCTCGCGGTAGCGGACGTTGACGGTGCGGAAGCAGTGTGCGGGCGAGGGGCACGCATATGCGTTGGCTCCTGGCATGGGCTTGCATGAGCCGTATGTGCCTGAGGGGGTGAGTGGGGGGAGGACTGCTGTGTTGTTGGCCACTATGAAGCCTGACGATAGAGGAGTGGCCTCCTCCAAGGTGCTACGAGGGGAGGAGGAGGAGGAGGAGGATAGGGAGGGAGAGGGGGAGGAGCGGGCAGGAGCGTGGGAAGAAGAGGCGGACTTTCTAAAGGAAGCGAAGGAGCGTCTGTGGGAGCGGGGCCTGCGGTGGTAGTTGCTAGGTCGGCCGCGAGTTTTCTTGAGAGGAGAAATAGCAGTAGCTGCTGCTGTGCCACGCCTGCGGGGACGAGATTTTGCAGCGGAAGCAGCAGCAGGAGTGGCATAAGCAGGAGCAGCAGAAGATGCAGCAGACGCCGTGAATAGCAGGCGACGGTGGTGCAGAGGAGAAGCTTTCCGTGGCGAGACAAGCCTGCCCAGGGAGACGGGGACAGCAGCACTGCGCCTTGCAGAACCACCAGCACCAGCAGCAGCAGCAGCACCAGCAGCAGCAGCAACGGCAACAGCTTCGCCAGCGGCAGCAGCAGAGGCAGCAGTAGGGAGTGAGGTCCCGACAACGGAGGTCTTGCCCAGCACGGACCCCAGTATACTGCCGTCCATGTCCCTCAACGCCACCTGTGTCTGTGCCTCCCCATGATCCTCCGTCTCCGACGAGTCGTACTGCCCAGGGGTAGGAGTGGACCGGGAGAGAGCAGGGGGAAGGAGAGGAGAGTGAGAGGGAGTTAATGCGAGTTGAGATGTGTTGAGATCAGAACTGTGACTCGTCGTACTGGTTGCGGTGGCAAGGGCATGATTCTGGTCATATTGGTCATACCGGAGGTCATTTGTACTTACCATCTGAAAGTGCATGGCAGTGCGGCATGCATGACAGCGCGGCATGCATGACAGCGCGGCATGCATGACAGCGCGGCATGCATGACAGCGCGGCATGCATGACAGCGCGGCATGCATGACAGCGCGGCATGCATGACAGCGCGGCATGCACACAAAGGGTGGCTGTGGGGTTGGCGAGGCGACTCACTCTGGAGGGGTATTTCCGAGGCTGGACGACAACTGGGTTGGTCCGCGTTGCAGTGCTGAACTTGAAGTTCTGTCATGTCATGGGGGGAGCAGCAGGAGTACGGGGGTAGATGCACCATACGTTAGTGTGGCAGGAAAGAAATGACATTCTTAAACATGACGCAAGCAGCAACGGTGCATAAGCGCAAGCTGGAGTCGGAAACATGAGGAGATGCTACTGCCTTGATACTGCAAATGCACTTGGTACTTTGGAAAGACACATGATGATGCGTGTGTGACTGAGCAGAGAGCAGAGAGAAGCAGTGAAGGGTCGTGAAAGACAAGCTGTGAAAGGCAAGGGCTGCGAGGCACCTTGAAGTTGTTGCCTGCGTTCCAGTACGTTCCCATGTCCCCCCCCACCGCCACCGCAGCAGACGGCTTGCACGTGTTGTCAAACCCAGCGAACCTGCATGGTGGGTGCACGGGATGGGGTTGTGGAGGAGGGCAGGCGGAGTTGCCAATGCATGATGGTGCTGTGCCAGAGCATGCCCGGACAGGGTACCATGCTTTAGCCCATACAGCATGTTATGCCCCACGCGCTCAATGCTATGCCCCATCCATCCATGGAGGCGTGGAAGCATGGATGCATGGAAGCATGAGTGAATGCACGCACTTAGCGCCGTCAACAACGTTGTTGAAGAGCCCATCGGTGAACCATGGGCTCTGCGTGAACACCAGCCCGTATACCGGCTCGTCCACCCCCCCACCCCCCACACTGCGCCCCTGCTGGCCCTCCGCCAATGGGAACCTGCCACGTGGAGGAGCAAGGAAGGAGCGAAGGGAAGTGTGGAAATGAGGCGGTGGTGGAGAAGGAGAGAGAGAAAGGAAAGAAATGAGCTCTCGCAGCGGGACCACGGAGGCCTTATTGATTTTTGGTCGAAGAAGCACAGAACCAAGCTTATCACTCACTCACTCACTCCCTCACTCAATCCCTCCCTCCCTCACTTGATCCCTCACACCCTCCCGCACTCACTTGCAGCCGGAGACGGGAGCGCATCCATCGGAGTCGGGGTCGGTGCAGTCCCAGGGGTTGCCGTAGTTGGTGGTCTGCCCCACGACGCGCAGGTTGCGCAGCACAATGCCCTCCACCTGCGTCATCTCCACCCCCCACATGTTGTCCGCCGCTGTGATGCCCTCCAACACCACGTAGTCCGTGTTGTGGATGAATGCGCTGCAAGGAAAGCAGGGTGGAGGGGGTTGGTGGGGAGAGGTGGGGAGGGGGGATAGAGGGGGAGAGGGGTGAGGGGCGAGATATGGGAGACAAGGACAGCAGGGATGCTGCTAGTTGCATCCACGGGAGAGCAAGGAGAATGGCAGGGAAGGGAGAAGAAGGGGGAAGGGAAGGGAAAGAGGGGCGAGGAAGAGGAAGAGAGCGGGGAAAAGGGTGGGCTTACCCCGCGTAGATGTTCTTGTAGAAAGTGAAGCCCGAGATAGTCACCCACACTGGACGGTCCCACTGCAACGATCAACAGAGGGGCACATGGAGCATGGGACATGGGAGGTGCACATGGGACATGGGAGGTGCACATGGGACATGGGAGGTGCACATGGGACATGGGAGGTGCACATGGGACATGGGAGGTGCACATGGGACATGGGAGGTGCACATGGGACATGGGAGGTGCACATGGGACATGGGAGGTGCACATGGAACATGGGAGGTGCACATGGAACATGGGAGGTGCACATGCACACGGATCAACAAGCTAATGTTGTTTATGAACGAGCAGCAGGGATGTTTTCCGGGATGTTTTTGGCAGCAAGGAGCAAGGCACAGAGGAGGCATGAAAGAGCACGCAGGCAGGCATTGGCAGTTGTGGTACGACATGTGAAAGAGGGAGTGGTGACGCGACGCACGTAGGTTTCGTCCTGGTCGAGGGTGGAGGCGTTGAAGCGCGGGAAGAATCCCCCGGGGTAGTCACGAAAGCCCGTGTCACACGAATGAGCAACGTTGCCCGCAAACGTGCCGACTCGGTGGTAGTTGAGGGGGATCAGCGTGTTGATGAGAGGCCAGTCAGCAGACAGCCCCCTCACTCGCTCCCGTAGCTCCAGCCAGAAGCTGGTGGCGGGCAGAGAGGGGATAGGGGCAAGGGAGAGAGAGGCGTTGAGTTGATGGGGGTAAGTTGAGAAGTAAGGTGAATGCCCCCCAATACGTTCTGCTCCCAGGAAAACCCAACCACCCATTCACCCAGGCATGAACGCACCCGGTGTCTTCTGAACCGGCAGCGACATTGCCGATGTAGTTGTTGTTGGCGTTGGTGATCCAAAACGTGGATGGCTCGTCGTCTGTCTCCTCGGCTGATATTTTCACCTCCACTGTGCACATGCAGACAGACAGACGCACACACACATACGGGCACACAGGCAGAGTCAAACGCGCATGCACAGAGCAACGCTCACAGGTTACAGCAGACGCTATGTACGTGGACAGTAGAAAAAAGAAAAACAAAAGAGAGAGAAACAAAAGCAATACCAAGAAGACAACGCCTTGTGGTGGAATGAGCAGTGTGGAATGAACAATGAGTGCAAGCGCCGTGACGCACCTGGGCACGTCCAGATGGCGACTGAAAACACACCTGGGCGCGTCCAGATGGCGACTGAAAACACACCTGGGCGCGTCCAGATGCCGACGTTGCGGATGAAGGAGTTGCCCTGCTCGCCGCCCTCCTCCACCATGAAGCAATGGCCTCTCGTGTTGAACGCCACGTTCTCCTCCACCATCAGATTGAACGTAGCGTGCACCACCACACAGCGCTGCATTGGGGGATGGGGAGGAGGGGAGCATGAAGTGCAAGAGGGCAGACAGGTTGCACGTCGCGTGCACCACCACAGCGCTGCACATGACAGGAGGGCGGGACGGGAGGCCGCAAGGGGGCAGACAAGTTGAACAGCGCTGCATGTGAAGGCGGGGGCGGAAGCAGAGAGTAGCCGAGTGGGAGGAAATGAGAGAGGAGAGAAGTTTGAGTGGACGAGGATGGAGGGATGGACAATAATTGGGCGTCTGATGAGGACTTGGAAAGAAAGAAGCATATCTGTGCACAGGCAATGCGAGCTAAGAGTGGAATAAAACAATCCAGCACAAAGAGCACAGCACGTAGCACGTAGCACGCAGCACACACGCAAGCACCCACCTGCTTGCTGTCATGCATCACGTTCTTCCGTACGACGCTCTTCCCCGCCTGGTTCCCACAGAGGTGGAAGTGGATGTTATAGCGCCCCAGCTGCCCCTGCTGCCCCATCTGGGCGAACTCGACGCCCTCGATCATCTGTGCGGTCTGAGTGAAGAACACCATGAAGTGTCCGCCCTCCCAGTTGTGCGGTGCTGCCTCGTCCTCCCCTCGAATGGTCACTGTGCGGTTCAGCAGCACCACCTCCCCGCGCTCCTCTATCGTGCCGCCAAACCCGTCCGCCACCACCTCTCCAAAGTGGCTGTAGGCGAGCGCCGCGCTCAGCGCCACTTTCCACTTGCTGCCGCCGGGCACGGCCGTCACTGGCGAGAAAAATCGGGGGAGAGAGAGTGATGGAGACTATATATTCTTGTCGATTTTTCTAGAGGAGTTGACATGGGGGGAAGCGGCGTGGCGTGGGGGAGGTGAAGCAGATGGGGCGAACGAGAGGAAGCAGGAGAGAGGGATGGAGCGAGATTGGCTGCACCATCCGCTTGGTATGCCACAGGAGAGTGGAGTGAACGGCAAAGGCAAAACTGGGTGAGAGAGGAGAGGAGAGGAGACGCAGCGAAAGAGTGTAGTGGACGGCGGCAAAGCCGCTCTATAGAGATCCCAGCAGAGCCTCACTCACCATCAACGATCTTGGCGACGTCGATCTGGTCGGCATAGAAGTCGGTGGAGGCGAGGCCGACATAGAAGCCGACGGGCCATGCGGTGACGTCCCGGTCCACCAGGATGGTGCGATCGCCCGCCTGTGCTGTCGCTGCCAGGCGGCACCATGATGGCGTGGAGGAGCCCCCCGGCATGCCGTGCATGCTCACCTGCCCTCCCACCTGGGGAAGAGGGGCGTGGGGTGGAGATGGTGGGGATGGGGATGAGGATGGGGCCTTACCATAACAGGTGGCACCCTGGCAATGCACTGCACAGCAGAGGCAGCACCATGCAGCACGAAAAAAATGCAGCAGCACACCCAGCACGGGCACGCACCACGACGAAGGCCTTGTGGCCGAAGTTGCGGGGGTTGGCGGGGTCAGCGGGTGCGTTGGCGGTGTACTGGTAGGGCGCGCGGCCGTTGGGGTTGTGCATGAGCGTGAAGACGGCCTTTTGAGAGAAGTGCTTTGCGCTGCTGCCCACGATCAGCTGCCCCTCCACGATCACAAACGACGCGTTCACCTGCACCAGTGGCCGTGACACAGTGTCCTCAACTCTGCCCAGCACGTGGGAGGGGGGGCAGGAGACAATTTGGGGGCGATTCGGGGGAGATTCGGAGGGGATTGGGAGGGGATTCGGGGAGGTTCGGGGGGTATTTAAGGGGCAAGTGGGGAAGAAGAGGGTGGAGACGGTGCAGAATATGGAAACGGAAGGGGAGCATTCTCACTCTTGCTCACTCCTGTACACTCTTGTTCACTCCTACTCACTTGAGCATGCCCCGAATGGTGAGGGTGGAGAGGACGACGGACGGCACGTCGAGAAGCACGGCCACCCCACACGGGATGGTGGCGTTGCCGCCCTTGCCCGCCCCCACGCCCGGCACCACTCCCCCCGGCCACGTGCCCGCATCGCTCCATGGCTTGAAGCCTGGAAGGGACGAGGGGGGGAGAGAAGGGGAAGAGGAGAGGAAGTAGGGGGGATAGGGGGGCAAGGGATGGGAGAACAGGTGTGGGGGAAACGGGAGGAGGGAGAGGGTGGAGGAAGGAAGAGAGGAGCAGAAACGAGCTCGTGACACCAGGTGCGCAGCTGCCAGTGCCGCTTATATGAACCGCATTAGACTGCGTTGGACTGAGGGATTTGGGGCGGCCGCCCCAGTGGACGATCGTCACCGCCGACAGTGACTTACCGGCGGGGGGAGGGTCCGGGAGCGGCGTGCACGGCGATTTGAAGTTGTCCCACGGGACTTGCGGCGTCGCACGCGCCACGGGCAGGACCCCGCGGTCCGGGGAGAGTGAGAGGTGGCAGCACGCGGCGAGGAGCAGCGCTGAGAGCGGAGACAATGCGCGGAAGCGGCGGGAAGAGGCGGAGCGGCGGTGGCTGGTGCGAGAGGTCGGCAGGCGAGCGACGGAGGCCATGGTACTAGTAATGAGGGTACGCGTGGTGCGACCGCTGCAGTGGCTGCGACGGTGATAGTGATAGTAGTACTGCTGCGACCGATACTTGGAACTGGAACGGATTGGGGATATAGATGGATGCCTGCTAGTAATCGAGGGGAGCAGCCACGGCGTGGTTCGATACGGTAAAAGTGGTGGGCTGTTGCGGGGGTTGTTGTGCTTGCCGGCTTCAGGGTTACCACCTCCTGTGGGCAGCTGGGGACGTGGTATGAAGGGATTCGTGCTCCAATAGTGTGTCTACTGAATTCTGAATGTTCTCTTTTGGTGTCCATGATAGTCGGTGGTGTGTGCTGTTATACAGTGAGCGCGGCACGGATTCCGCCTGCGCTCTGCGAGCGTGAGACGTTGCGTGAAGCGGCGACGTCGCGTCACCGACCTTGGGCTCAGTGACTTCGTCAAGCTACAGTACTACTGGTTCATGCAAGCCAGCTCATTTACGCTGGTACAGTACTACTACGTCTCCATGTGCTGATGCTGCGGTAGGCGTGGAGGACAGGTACTAGTGAAGGGGGAAAGGGAAGCGAAAGAGGAGCTGGGGTAAGGAGAGCAGGATGACGAACACGCGCGCCGCCTTTCCTGGAGTCTTCTTTCAAACTGGAAATGGCTGGGTAAAGACACGCTTGGCCGGGTTCTTTTTGCCCGAAAGAAGAAGCTTGAATGCCATCAATAATTGTGGAGTGTTGCGACCGGGCCTGTCGAAGTCCCTGGGGCCAGCACTTGAAGCCCTGAGCCGCGGGAATTCTGGCCCTGATTTCCAGGGAGGTCATCGTTATTCCGCCCTTAGCGAGAACGGGCGTCAGCCAACTTCAACACTTGAAATCCGAACTCCTTACGGAAGTGCACTTTTAGCTCCACTAGAGCTGAAATAGGTGTGGCGCTGCTGGAGTTCTCTCCTCTATCGACTTGGCCACTAGACACTAAACTCACATAGGATTGGCTATAAAACGATTGGGAAATGTTACACCTGGCGCGCTCTTGTGCAATTTCACAAGGGGCGAATAGGGGGGTGGGGGGTGTACAGGAGGAAGTAAGGGGATGGGGGGCTCCTTGGACCCGAAACCAACACTTAGCTGCAGTGGAAGGCCCAGCTTGAGCCCTTAACACATCCGGGGATGGGCGAAACGAAACCCGTAACTGTCACGGGTGCCATTCGAAACCAACCCTTAAAACGGTCGAGCTGATCCTAACGTAACCCGGAATGTTCAAGGCATTAAGGTCAAATGCCCTTGCTTCGACAGGCCTGGATGCGACCCAAAGAGGTCGGATCGACCACCCCTGATACCTCCTTTCTAGGAAGGCTGCGCCGCGGCATCTAGCCGACCAAGTCGAACCAACCGCATCGGATTAGGTCTACCCGACCAGGGTCGACCTGGTGTACCCAATCAGCGTAGAAAGGGTCATATCTAGGTCTAGCCAGTTTGCGGCCAAGTGCCATCAGAGTGGAAAAAAAAAAAAAAAAAAAAAAAAAAAGAAGAGTTCAGGGTGAGAATTAAGGTGCCTATTCTTGAAAAGTCAGCCCTGGACCTGATGAGAGTTTCACTTCTGCTAATCATGATGATCATTGAACAAGCCACCGTTGAACCATGAGTCGATTGAATGACCATTCCACGTCCCGTAGCTCATTCTGCTTGTGGGTAAACAACCACAGGATCGTGGTGAGTTAGTGAACTGCTGCACCCCTGTTACAGGGTAGCCAAACGTATCATCACGTGCGTGGCGTGGCGTTCCTAGCTCTGCTCTGCACTGCAGTGTGCAAAGCTCCTCCTCTAGACCCGGTTAAATTGAGCAGCATCCAGGAGCACAGAGCACTGCTCTACAAAAGGCTTCATTCATGGGATATGCCCCTTTGTCACCCAGTTGCATTCAGCATGGACAGCAAGCTTGCCAGCTCCTCCTCCTCCTCCCCCACCTCCATGCCCCCCTCCCCTGCTGCTCCTGTCCTTCCTGCCCCCACTGCTGCATGCATCACTGCAGGGGGGTGTGCTGCTGCAAGCACAGGCACAGTCGCCAGTGCAGGTGCTTGTGTGTGTGAATGAGCCGCACCGGGCAAGGAGAACCCAGGTGGAGCGAATGCCTGAGGATTGAAACCCTGCGAGGCCAAAGGCTGATGTGCTCCTGGGTAGAACGAAGCAGCTCCCGTCAGGTCTGTAGGCGTGGGAGCTGTAGGTGTGGATGCTGACAGCAGGGTGGGGGGCAGGAGAGTGGTGGTGGGAGAGGGAGTGGGGAAGGAGGAGGAGGTGAGGGCAGTAGGTGGTGTGGCGAGGTGGTGCTGGCTCAGGAGGATCTGCTGCTGGAGTGCTAGCAGCTGCTGCTGCAGGTCATGCTGCTGCTGCAACAGCTGCCGCTGCTGCTCCACCAAGTGGGAGTTTAAAGGCTGCTGCTGCTGCTGCTGCTGTTGATGCGCCTGCTGTAGTTGCTGCTGCTGCTGCTGCCCCTGCTGCTGCTGCTGCTGCTGCTGCTGCTGCTGCTGCTGCTGCTGCTGCTGCTGCTGCTGCTCCAGAGAAAGCTGGTTGTGAATTGTTTGCTGTGCCTGCGTCTGCTGGCCTCCCCGTGCCTCCACGCCACCTCTCGCCTGCTCCTGCACCGGCTGATGAACCCCTGCCTCCCCCACAGAGTGTGGATTTAGGTCCGGCGCAGTGGAAGGGAACCCAGGAGCGGGGCGGACCTGGGAATTGGGATCGGGGACATGGTGCTGCTCGTGCTGCTGCTGCTGCTGGGTTGGGTGATCCAAGTGATGCGGTCGGTCAGGAGGATAGAGTGGTGCAGATGGGTTGGTGGTGTGTGAGGGATTGGGAGGCACGTCATGGGATGGCTGTGGCTGTGGCGGGGGGGAATTTGTCTTGTGACTGGGAGAAGGATGGGGCGAGGGGAGAGGGGACGCATGCGCGAAAGGGTGCGGTGAGGGATGGGTAGAGGGGTGAGGAGAAGGGTGTGCGGAGGGATGGGCCGAGGGATGCGGGGAGGGGTGTGTGGAGGGATGGGGGGAGGGATGCGGAGAGGGTTGGGCCTTGAGGGGCTTCGGTGCTTTGACTGTGCCTTTGGTGGTGGTGCTGCTGGTGTGGCTGGCAGCTGAAGATTTAGCAGCGGGATGAGCAGTGGTGGGAGCGGTGGGGGCAGTTGTGGCAGCAGCAACAGCAGTAGCAGGGGAGAAGCCTCCTCGCCTGGCAGCAGATCGGATCTGTGGTTTGAATTCGGATGACAGGAGTGAGCACAGGGGGGAGGGGAAGAGGGCGAACAGACATTATGACGACTTTTGAGAGGTGCCTAAAAAAGGAAATGCGCTTTGTAAGCAGAGAAAGTGAGGGGTTGATTTGTTGAATAACAGAGGGGGCAAACGGACATGGGGGAGAAAGGCATTGCGGATGCTGGAATGAAGCGGGATGCAGAAAGTAGGTGGTGGGGAGGGCACCCCCGACTGACCTCCCTCATGCAGGTGCCCAGCATGCATGCACCACAGTCTCTCGAGCGTGGAGCATACCACGACGAAGCCCAAGGCACGCAGATAACAGGGCGCGTCAGAAGAAGCCACCATGCCCACTCACTCCCTCACTCACTCACTCACTCACTCACTCACTCACCCACTCACTCACCCACTCACTCACTCACCCATTCACTCACTCACTCACTCACCTCCACCATGCGGCCGCCCAGCGGCACAAAGTGTTTCTCGAGCAGGCGAGCCACAGTCTCTCTTGAGTCGAGCACCACGAAGCCAAAGCCGCGCGAGCGCATGGTGCCACGCTCACTGGCTGCTACGTCGGGCTCGTACAGCACCACGGCATCCACCACTCCCCCATACTGCTCCTCGAAATGCGCTGCTAGGTCGTCTGACGTCACGTCGTAGGGTAACCCTCCAACGAAGATCTTGCTGCGAGGGGTGGGGTGGGGTTGGGGGGGTTGAATGAGAGTGAAGGGGAGTGAAGGGAGGAGAATGGTTTCGAAGGGAGAAGCTTGTTGGTGGAGGGGAGGTGGGAGGGGAGGCGGGAGGGGAGGAGATGAGGAAATGGGGAGGTGGAGAGAGGCAAAGGCGAGGAGAGGGAGATGAAAGGCAGGAGCAGAGAAAGGTGTGTGTGTGTGAGAGAGAGAGAGAGAGAGAGAGAGAGAGAGAGAGAGAGAGAGAGAGAGAGAGAGAGAGAGAGAGAGAGAGAGAGAGAGAGAGCCAACGCCCTCAGGGATAAGACCCATGAGGCTCTTACCGCGGATGTGCTAGGCCTGCAGGGACCGTTCACCCCACTGAGCGAGGGCCAGCTGTACCAATTGATAGAAGACCCCTCCGGCCACTAGGGCCGGAAGTGGAAGGGGCGGCAGTAGTTGCGTCGGGATAGGGGAATGATAAGTAGCTTTGCTGTGTGTGGGTTGCTGCTCTACCTTGTCTGTATCTTGGCGTTATTAATACGAAGGACCGTTCGAGAGAGAGAGAGAGAGAGAGAGAGAGAGAGAGAGAGAGAGAGAGAGAGAGAGAGAGAGAGAGAGAGAGAGAGAGAGAGAGAGAGAGAGAGAGAGGCGACTCACTAGGGCTGCAGGGCAAGGTCCCCTGAGAGAGCAATAGACTTGTTGCCTCGCCCTGCTAGAACGGCACCAATGGAACCAGCACCACCACTAGCCGACGCACTCGCACTGGTACTGCCAGTGCCACTGGTGGTGCTGCCACCCCCCCAGCTGCCAGCGGCGGTGCTCCTGGAATCGTTTGACTGGTCGCCCCACTCCCATGACTCTGCTCCTCCGCTTGCACTACCCCACGCGCTCGAGCTGCTCTCCCATGGCACGAGATCGTTGCCGCCCTTGCTTTCACCCCCGCCGCCACCACCGCCACCGGTAGGAGTAGCAGCATCCCAACCAGCAGCACCAGGAGCAGCAGCGTTTTCCCAGCCACCACCACCACCACCTGCACCGCCAGCGCCACCGGCAGCAGGAGCATTAGCGGCATTCTTCCACGCTGGTGGGCTGCGGGGGGGTGGCTTGGGCACCTGCTGCAGCTCTTTCTGCCCGTGTGCAAATGTGCACTGCGAACCCAGAGTGCAAGAGCCAGAACTGGACCACCGCCGACACAGCATCGTCTTGTACTTGTAGCTTGGATTGTACCCTGGCTTCTGCTCCTGCTCCTGCTGCTGCTGCTCCTGCTGCTGTTGCTGCTTCTTCTGCTCCTTCTGCTCCTTGTGCTTCTGCTTCTGCTGCTGCTGCTGCGTCTCCTTCCACCCCAGCCGTAGCTGATGCAACGAGTCAGCCCACGGAGGGGCACCAGACCCACCTCCACCACCACCACCACTGCCGGACCACACAGACGCATCCCAAGGCCGATCCCCATCCACATCAGAATCAGCGGAGTCCCCTCCGCGCCTCGCGCCCCACTCACCGCCTCCCTTCCCCTCGCCTCGGGGCATGGGGGGTCCAGTCTCGCCCAGCATCTGGCGGAGCTCTGTGGATGTGGCGAGCTGGCCGGGCCTCCACCCTCCTGCGTTCTCCACGCTGTTGGATGCACCGAAGGACAGCAGCACCGCCGCACATGCCACGTGATCGTGCTGGTGTGGGGGGCAAGGGGGGTTAGAAGGGAGAGCGAAGGGGTGATGACAGGGTTGCTGTGTTGTGTGGGCTTGGGGCTTGGGCTTGGGCTTGCGCTTGCGCTTGCGTTTGCGCTTGCGCTTTGTGTTGTGTTGTGTTGTGCTGTGCTGTGCTGTGCTGTGTTGTGTTGTGTTGTGTTGTGCTGTGCTGTGTTGTGTTGTGTTGCGTTGCGTTGTGTTGTGTCGTGTTGTTGTGTTGTGTCGTGTTGTTGTGTTGTGCTGTGCTGTGTTGTGTTGTGTTGTGTTGTGTTGTGTTGTGTTGCGTTGCGTTGTGTTGTGTCGTGTTGTTGTGTTGTGTTGTGTTGTGTTGTGTTGTGTTGTGTTGTGTGTGCCTTGTGCGCATATCACCACCAGCATGCGCTACCAACAATCCATCCCCCCCACTCACCACAACCATCACACGCCCACCAGCCAGCACCACCGCACCACACTCACCTCCACCACCCCTTTTTCCTCCGCCACCCACTCTCCCCACATCTCCCCACCCTTCCGCCCTCACCCGAGCGGCGTATTGCAGGGGAGTCTCCCGGGCAGCAGTGGCGACGTATGAGTTGACTAAAAAACCACTGCACTTCCACCACGCACTCTCCCTCCCCCCCATCTCCCCACTCTCCCAGTGTGCCCTCACCCGAGCAGCGTAGTGCAGGGGAGTCTCCCGGGCAGCAGTGACGGCGTTGGCAGCAGCGGCCTCTCGCCCCAGCAGCACATCCAGTGCCTCACTGTGCCCGTGCCCTGCTGCCGTGTGCACCACCGTCGCCCCCACGTGGTTCCCTGCCAGCACACTGGCGCCCGCTGATATGAGCTGTGAGAGAATGGTCGTGTCCACTGGCCGCCCGTTCCAAGGGGTCGCCTGGGGGGTTTGATTTGCAGGGATGGTGTGGGTGGGGTGGAATGGAGAGGAGGATAGGGCAGAGAGATGAGGGGAATGAACGAAACAGGGACGAGATAGCTGGGGCCCATGGCCGTACCACCCACGGCTCCTAGCAAGCAGCGCCTCTTCAACCCCCATTCCGCCTCTTCCAATCTGCGCCCAGCCCATCCGTCCGTCATCTCCCCTCATCCACACTTCATCACTCCCCCCCGCACCTGTCGGAGCACCCAGTGCAGGGCGGTGTTGCCATCCCCGTCACTATCATTTACAGAAGCACCGGCGTCCAGCAGCAGTCCAACCACCATGCCGTCATTGCCTGCTGCTGCGCGCACCAACGGCACCTGGTGCACGCTCGGCCCGTGCCCTGCCAGCGGCGGGTTGAACAGCAGAAACGCCTCCAGCACCTTCAGCCCTCTCATGCGCAGCTCCTGACACCGTGCCTCCGCTCCTCCTCCTGCTGCTCCTCCTGCTGCTCCTCCTGCTGCTCCTCCTGCTCCTGCCCCAGCTTCTGCGGTTCCTCCTCCTGCTGCCTCTGCCGCTCGCTTTTCCTTGGCTGACTTCTTCTTCTTCTTCCCCTGCTTGCTCTCCGGCACCCCGTTGCCGTTGCCGTTCCCGTGCTCAGTCTCGCGCTTCTCTCGCTCTGCGTGCAGCAGCCGCAGCACCTGCTGCTGCTCCTTCTCCTGCTCTCCCAGCAGCACCTCCTGCCACGGCTCCAGCTGCATCAGCCCAATCGCGCCCAGCCACGCCGCACGCTTGGAATGATGCGCCTTCCTGCTCCTCTCACTCCTCTCGCTCCTCACACTCCGGTCGCAAGACCTAGGCGACGAGGCCGTGTCCCCCTCCTCACAAGCATCAAAGAACATCTCATCCTCCTCCTCCTCGCCCTCCTCTCCCTCGCCCCCACGACCCCCCCGCGGCCTCGCCAACGGCACGCGGGAGAGGTCGAGGAGGTTTGAGAGGATAACATCCAGGAGGGTGAGGGAGGGGTGGCCGTGCATCCATTGGCAGGCGCCCAGAGAGACAGCGGCGAACCAGGGGTGCTGCGAGGGGAGCACCGTTCATGAGAGGCGAGCCCCCGGAGAGGAGCAGCGCGACTAGGGGGACGAGACGGAAGCAGCCGGCTAGCGTGAATGCCACTCGGAGAGCGTCAGAGGCGTGCTGAGGGGAGGGGTCGGGGAGGGGGGAGGAAAGGGGAAGTGAGGTGGGCCGTAGGAGCGTTGGAGAGGAAGAGACTGGAGAGGGGGAGGGAGAAGGGGGAATGAGTGAGTGAGGCACCCGGGGAATGGACACACATGGGTGCGTGCAAAGAGGGAGGAGTAGCCGCCGCAGCAGCAGCAGCAGCAGCAGCAGCAGCAGCAGCAGCAGCAGCAGCAGCAGCAGCAGCAGCAGCAGCAGCAGCAGCAGCAGCAGCAGCAGCAGCAGCAGCAGCAGCAGCAGCAGCAGCAGCAGCAGCAGCAGCAGCAGCAGCAGCAGCAGCAGCAGCAGCAGCAGCAGCAGCATGAGTAGTACCTACCTGGTGCAGCAGGCGGATGGAGTCGAGGTTGCGCTCGTGCCTCAGCGTGTTCACCACTCTCAGCGGCGCTGTCTGCGCACCCCAGTCAAACTGTACAGGCGGGCAAGGGGAGGGGGAGGAAGCGGGGAGAGAGGGAAGGCAGTGAGATGTGGAAGCGGATGGAAGGCACATGTTTAGGCATGGGTGCGTGCTTAGTCCACATGTTTAGGCTATAGGAGCATGCCCAGTGCCCACCCAACCCAACCCAACCACCCCCACTCACGTGCAGTCGCTTGGACACCAGTGCTTCCTCGAGTGCGGTGAGCCCCAGTGGCCCTGCTGCCAGGCTCGCGTCTGCCCCTGCTGCCAGCAGTGCCGCAATGCACCGCGCACTGTATGCACGCGCGCACAGCCACACCGCATGGGGGAGATAAGGAGCGAGGGAAGCGGGGGAGGGGGAGAAGGGGGGAGGGGGGAAAGGGGGGAGGGAGGAACAAGGCGCGTTTTGAGATGGTGATATGGAGGTGCCATGTAGAGCAGATATCCAACATTTGACATGCATGCCCCACAGTCTCCCCACCAGTTAGCACCACCATCCACCGTGCCCCACCCACTGTGGCCCCCCATGGGCCGGCCAGGAGGCGTCGGCGAGTGCACGCACCTGTGGAAGCGGGCAGCCATGTGCAGCGCTGTGAGCGCACCCACGTGGTGGTGGTGCCTACTGTTGTGCTGTGCTCGTGCCGTGACCTCGTCCATTCGCACCGCCCAACACGGCTGTTGGGGGGCACGGCAGGGGCGCACAGGACGGGAGATGGGTGGAGAGGGAGGTAGACGGGGGGGGGATAGTGTGAGTGAGCGCACCGTCCATTCGCACCCACGTGGTGGTGCCTGCTGCCGTGCCGTGCCGTGCCGTGCCGTGCCGTGCTGTGCTGTGCTGTGCTGCCCGCGCCGTGACCTCGTCCATTCGCACCACCCAACACGGCTGGTGGGCGGCAGGGGTGCACAGGACGGGACAGGGCAGGTAGAAGGGGGGGCTGGGTAAGGAAAGGAAAGGAGATTGTGAGAGAGAGTCGGAGGTAAGGAAAGGAATGAGGGAGCATGTGGTGAAGAGGAGAAGGCGCGATAGAGTAGCAGCAGCGCGCTCTTGCGTCGAGCGAGCAGCGCAGCACTGCCACGCCCACCCACCCACCTGAATGCATGTCCGCGCGCCTGCTTCATTTGATCATGTATGTACGGCGTGGCGTGTTTGTACGTGCCCCTGCATTGATGATTATCCATCCATCCCCCCATGCTCATCCCCCCCCAACCCCTTATCCCCTATCCCCCTCTCCCGCTATCCCCCCATCCGCCTGTTCCCCCATCCCTCCATTTTCACACCCCCAATCCTGATCTCTCCACTCCCAGAGCACGTCACGACACACTCACGTGACTAGGCTCCACGTCAGCACCAGCGGGCCTGATGGCGATGACAGCCTGGCAGCACGCCACGGCATCGCACACACATGCACACGCCAGCGCGCGTCGCACCACCTCCCCAGCTCTTTCCAGCATCACCTCCCTCTCTCCCCTCTTCCCCTTTCCCCCTTCCACCTCCTCGTCCCCCTCTCCCGCCCCCCTGCCCCCTCTCCCTTTCTCCTTCCCCCCTTTTCCCTTCCCTTTACCCTTCCCCTTGGCTTTCTCCTTCCCCTTACCCCCCTTCCCGTCCCTCCCCATGCCTCCCGTTTGAGCCAACTCAACCTCTTTCCATTCCCTCGCCCCCTCCTCCTCCTCCTCCCGCTCCCCCTCCTCCTCCTCTTCGTCCTCCCCAGCCTCAACCACTAGAATCTCCGCTAGCCCGAGCGCTTCTAGCGCCTGCCGGATCACACGCCGCAATTCGCGGCGGTCATCGCGGACGACGCAGCGCGCTAACGGGGAGTCGATGGGGACCATGAGCGCCGCAAGCGCCGCCGCCACGTCCGGGTCTAGAGCGCACGCGACGTCCTCTTTCTCCTTCTCCGCCTCCTCCTGCTGTTGCTGCTGCTTCTGCTGCTGCTCTTGCTGCTTCTTCTCTTCCGCCACCGCCGCGGATTTCGCGGCCTTCCCGCCTTTCTTCTTTCCGCCAGCCATCCGTTTTTTTTCCTCCCTCTGTCGCGCCCCCCTTCCCCCCTCCGCTGGCTTATTGACCGTCCGAGCCGCGGCTTTTCGGCGGCGCGGCGAGCAGCCTTCGAGAGCGAGCTTTGCGGCGGTTGAGGCGTCCCGACACGCAAGCAGCCTTCAAACGCTTAGGGAGCTTAGGACGCAAGGCGGATACGCACAAAAGAGGATATGTGCAGAGCCCGCTAAATCCGCTCACGAGGAAATCCGCAAATTCGTTCACGAGCACGAATGAATCACTCACGATAGGCAGAAAAGGAGGAGGAGCGGAGTGGGTGCATTGGAATGAAGCGGAGAGGAGTGTAGAGAGGAGAGCTCTGTATCGGCAGGTCGCGGTCGCGGACACACCACTGCTTTCCTTTCCCCCTTCACATCACGATTCACTCGCGTCACGTCCTCCTTGCCCCAATCCCCAAAAGACAGGTTCCGCATGGGCCGTCTCTCAACTCAACTCGAATGTCATCATCTCATCTCATCCCCTTGATCTGCGGCGGGTACACTACACCACGCCATGCACAGCATTCATCTCTACACTAGGGTACGTCGAATGAAGAAATCCGATATCCTGATCTCGGGTTTAAATACCGGTACAACGGTTCCGCTGCATAATATACTTGCATGCGTCTATAATGATAAACCGTACATGTATTTGCAACATGAACTACTGTATGGTCCGTACCTCCAGTTTTCCCCTAATTTGGCCACCCTTTCACGTCTCTCTAGTATGCCCGTTGCCATTGCTACACTGCCCCGCCCCTTCTACCTCCCTCTCCATCCATCCACCTATCCAGCAAAGCTGTTCAGTACCTGTGCTATATATGGCTGTCTAAATGCACATATGCATGTTGATGATTCTCTAGACCCTGTTGCCATAGTAGGTAAGTGAGCACTACTCGCACTCAGGGCCTTTTGCAGGTCCAATCAACCTAGCAGGAGCTGCCTGGAATAGATTCTTACCTACCGGTACTACATATAGTGCCTACACTAGGTACCTAAATATATAGGCGCACATTCTTGCACACTAAATATGACGTGCATGGCTCAGCTGTCAAATGTTGTAGCCTATAGTGAGGTTTGTCTTAGGGGGTACAAAACTTAGGGTTAGCTATATGTACCCCAACCAACATCAATGCATCATCCATTCCTCATTCTGACATGGTATCAGTTAGGTTAGGATCCTGTGGGATCCCGTTCCTCCGTTCTCCGTTCGTATCTCCCGAGCCTGATCCTACCTCTCGTTCGTACCGGTTCCGTTGTTACCGCGCCTAGTGCCGAGCCTAGCGCCCTTCCCCCCGTCGCCTAGCGCCCTTTCCCCCCCGTCACGTCGCGCCCTTTTCCCCCGTTGCGTCGCGCCCGTTCCCCCCCGTCGAGTCGCGCCCTTTCCCCCCGTCGCGTCGCGCTCTTTCCCCCCGTCGCGTCGCGCCCTTTCCCACCGTCGCGTCGCGCCCTTTCCCCCCGTCACGTCGCCCTGCCCCGTCCCGTTGCCCCTGCCCCGTCCCGTCGCCCTGCCCCGTCCCGTCCCGTCGACCCGTCCCGTCCCGTCGCCCCTGCCCCGTCCCGTCCCCGTCCCGTCCCGTCGCCCCTGCCCCGTCCCGTCCCCGTCCCGTCCCGTCCCGCGGCCCTGCCCCGTCCCGTCCCGTCGCCCCGTCGCCCCTGCCCCGTCTCGTCCCCGTCCCGTCCCGTCGCCCTGCCCCGTCCCGCCGCCCCGTCCCGTCTCCCTACCCCGTCGCGTCGCCCTCCCCCGTCGCGTCGCCCTGCCCCGTCGCATCGTGCCCGCCCTTTCCCCCGTCCCGTCGACCCTACGCCCTGGCCCGTCGCTCTAGCCCGCTCTTCCGCTGCGACTAAGTCCCACCTGAACCCTAATTTGCCTCTTACCTCCTGCTGTTACTCGCCTGCTCGTTCGCGTTAGTTTTCGCTATGGCGACTCCGCGAGTTCTTCGTTTCGACGCTGACGGCAGACCTCTTGACTTTTCCGTCTGGCTCCTTCGCGCTCGCCGTCTGTTAGAGAGTCAAGTCCAGGGGGGCGAGACCCTCTGGTCGCACGCTACTGGTGACCTCCCCGAGCCCCCCGAGCCTGCCGCTTTAGGTCCTGCCCCTGACGATGCTGCTACGGCTCGCTTTGCCCGTCAGCGCGCTGACAGGACGGCTTGGACGTCGCGTGACGCTGCGGCCTGCATCGCACTCAGCAGCCTCCTCCCTGAGTCAGAGGAGGTCCACTTCACTCAGGTTCGCACCGCTGCTGCGTACCTCACTGCGATTAAGGCCCGCTACTCTACTCCCGCTACTGTCTCTCTTGGCCGTCTTTTCCTCCCGTTCCTGTTTCCTGATCTCGCCTCGTTTGAGCGCTCTGCTGACTTGATCGCTCACCTCCGCTCGCTCGACGCTAGTTACCGCGCTGCTTGCACTGAGGCACAGCTTGCACTGCTTCCCCCCCCCATGGCGATTACTATCTTATTCATCGCCACTAGCCTCCCTGACCGCCTTGCCTCCGTACGTGACGCGCTCCTGCTGAAGCACCCTAGTGAGCTGACAGTTGAGGTCCTTGAGTCTGCGCTCAAGGACGTCGAGAGCAACCTTCGCTCGGTAGCTGCCGCCTCTGGTGCTGTGCCCCCCCCACTCTTCCCGCAGTTACCCACCTTCACTGCCTCTCTTGCCACTGCCGCTACTGACGCGACTGCAGCTGCTGTTACGACTGCGTCGCGGTCCCGCGGCAAGGGGGGCAAGAAAGGTGGTTCTGGTGGAGGTGGAGGCGGAGGTAGCGGAGGTAGTGGGGGTGCTGTTGCGACTGGCGGTGGTGGGAGTGCAGCGTCTGGAGAGACCTCTCGTGCAGCGGCTGGTGACTCCACTGCGCCTGCTGGTGGTGGCGACACCCGAGCTCGTCAGTCGTCTCCTGTACTGCCGGCCCCGCTAGGTGGAGCAGCGGCGTGGTACCAGGCTCAGCGTCAGCAGCGGCTTCAGCAGCAGCAGCAGCCCCTCTCCTCCCAGCAGCCTCAGCAGCAGCAGCGTCAGCAGCTGGCTCCGGGGTCGGGGCTGCGTCAGCCCCAGCGTGGTGCTGCCCACCCTCCCTGCACCTATCAGGTTCTGACAGGTCCTCGTCGGGGCCACCCTTGTGGCCGCTTTCACCCCCCTGGTCAGTGCTTTGCTCAGCTCACTGACACGGTCCGGTTGGCCTACGGGGTTGGCGGTCCTGCCCTTGACTGGCTTCCTCTGGTTCAGCGCTACGGCTCCGCTCTGTGGGGCATGTCTGCTGAGCAGTTAGTTGATCTGATTGGTGCTCCTCATGCTATGTATGCTGTTGTTGACTCTAGTGTTTCTGACTCTGCTTACTCTGGTGTTGTTAGCTTAGGTGCTAGCCTTGCTCAGTTGCCTGTTGCTAGTGTAGGTTCTTGTGTAGACTCTAGTCCAGCGGCTACCTCAGAGGACGGTTCGCTGTCGTTCACGCTGGACTCTGGAGCCTCTCACTGCTTCTTTCGTGACAGCACGACACTTACGCCTCTTCCTGCGCCTGTTTCTGTGGCGCTGGCTGATCCCACTTCGGGACCAGTCACCGCGCGTCACACTACCACCTTGCCGTGTCCGGCTGCTCCTTCTGGGTCTCTCACTGGGTTTCACGTCCCCTCGTTCTCCCGGAACTTGGTGGGCGTGCGACCCCTTGTGAGTCAGCACGTGGGTGTGTGGTTTGAGCCTTCTGGAGAGACTGCGGTGTGTGTTGACGGGGACTCTTACCAGCCTCTCGCCACTTTTGCTGCTGAGCCGGGCTCCGGTCTCTACACTCTTCACACTGGCCCGCGCGCTCAGCAGCGACTGCAGCAGCAGCAGCAGCAGCCTCAGCAGCGGCAGCAGCAGCAGCCGCAGCCACAGCGGCCGCCGTCGCAGCAGCCACTCCTCCCAGTTCCTGTCCCTCCCCCTAGTCTCCTCCCTGCGTCTCACCAGGTGGTTCCGTCCCCTCAGGTTGTCGCGTCCAGTCCAGTCGCTGCGTCTTGCTCCTGTCGGTCGCTTGCCCACCCCACCGTTCTGTGGCACCACCGGATGGGACACCCTTCTCTTCCACGTCTGCGTGCTATGTCTAGTCAGCGTCTTGTCTTAGGTCTCCCGCGTGTCTTGCCGTCGCTGCCGCCGTCCCTTGCACCACCGTGCGGTCCTTGCGTCGAGGGTAGGCTGCGTGCCACCCCTCACTCCTCCTCCCTTCGTCCGGCCACCGAGCCTTTTGAGACGCTGCACTTGGACGTCTGGGGCCCCTCTCCTTGCCCTGGCCCTGAGCGTGAGCGTTTCTTTTTGGTGGTCGTTGACGACTACTCCCGCTATACCACAGTGTTCCCCCTGGCGAGGAAGTCTGAGGTGACTTCTACGCTGATCAGGTGGTTGCTTACCACCCAGGACACTCGTGGTCGTCGTGTCAGCTGTCTCCACTCCGACCGCGGGGGCGAGTTTCGCTCCGGCATTCTCGCTGGATTCTGTCGCGAACAGGGCATTCGTCAGTCCTGGACGCTTCCGGAGTCCCCACAGCAGAATGGGGTTGCTGAGCGTCGCATAGGCCTGGTCATGGAGATTGCCCGCACCTCCTTGACTCACGCCCGTGCCCCCCATTTCCTGTGGCCATACGCAGTCAGGTACGCCGCGCACCAGCTGAACCTCTGGCCACGCGTCTCTCGGCCGGAGGCTTCACCGACCAGTCTTTGGACAGGGTCCCCTGGTGTCGCGTCGAGGTTTCGTGTCTGGGGGTGCTTGGCTCTTGTCCGCGACACCTCCGCGGACAAGCTCTCGCCTCGCGCCGTTCCTTGTGTCTTCCTTGGTTTCCCTGAGGACTCCTCTGACTTCACCTTTTACCACCCTCCCTCTCACCGGTTCTTTGACTCCCGTGACGTCCGTTTCGAGGAGTCCACCCCGTACTACGTCAGGTACCCCAGTCGAGGTCTCCTGGTTCCTCCTCCCCCCCTCTTCCTGACAGCCGCTCCCCCGCCTGCTCCCCCGGTACAGCCTCCCCCCCCTGGTCCAGCCCCGTCTGGTGTGTCTCAGGCTAGCCCTCCCCCTTCGGTAGCCCCCCCTGTACAGCCTCCCTCCCCACAGTCTTCCTCGCCGCCTCCTGCAGGTGCTCCCTCTCGGGAGGTTGGTCCTGCGACTGTCCCTGTACAGGTCTCTGGTTCTGGGGGTGCTGGAGTTGGAGCTGAGCCGCGGGTTGCAGAGGACTCTTGTCTTCCGGGGGCTGGTACTGGTCGTGCGGAGTCTGGGGGTGCTGGTGCGGAGTCTGGGGGTGCTGCGTCTGGGGGTGAGGGTGTCCCTTCGGTTTCTGGAGAGCCTGGGTCTGGAGCTGGTGTTGGTGCTGCCTCTGGGGGTGGTGTGCTTGGTGCTTCGGAGGTCGACTCTGGGGCTGCCGCTGCCCCGGACACTACTCCTTCCCCCCACCCCTACCCGACCAGGTTCCAGGCTCGTGTTCGCCGTGCTCGTGAGGAGCAGCTGGAGTTGGAGAGAGAGGAGAGAGAGTTGCAGCGGCTCGAGGAGCAGGAGCGACAGCAGCAGGAGCAGCAGCAGGAGCAGCAGCAGAGGCAGCAGCCGCTGGAGCAGCAGCAGCCACAGCAGCCGCGGCAGCAGCAGCAGCAGCAGCAGCAGCTGCTGCCGTCTCCTCCTCCTGTCTCGGGTCTTCGGACCCTTGGTCTCCCGTCTCCCTCTCCTTCCTCCTCCCCCTCTCCTCCCGTCTCTGGTCCTCCGCTTCCTCCTCCTGACCCCTCTCCCGCTGTTTTCCCTCGTTCTCAGTCTTCGTTGTCTCCTCCTCCTTCTCAGACTTGGGCCTCTCGTCGCTCCCCTCGTGCTCGTCCCTCGTCTCCTGTTCCCTTCACTGACCTTCGTACAGCCTTCCTTTGTTCTCGTCCACCTCGTCCGTCTCCGTCTGTGCTTCCGTCTCCTCCTGAGTCGGCCCTCACTGTGTCGCTTCCTTCTCCTGTCACTGACTACTACCGCACGTACCGTCCTATCCCTCTCACGTGTTCTCGCCTCTCTTGTTACTCACCCTCGTGCCTCTGTGTCCTCTGTGTCCGCTCTTACTGCCGCAGTCACTGAGTTTGCCTCTACCCGCCGCCTTGACTTCGCCACCGCTCTTGTGGCAGCTCCTCCTTCCAGTCCTCTGGCCGTCGGGGGTGTGTCTGCCCTTGGCTGTGACGCCCTAGAGGACAGGCAGTTTGAGCTAGAGTTCCTGGCGGCCGCTTCCCCTCATCTCTGTGCCATGCTCCTCGCCCCTGAGGGTGACCCCGACGCCCTTGACATTCCGACTCCTCGCACTTACGCTGAGGCAGTGTCAGGGCCTTGGGTCTCTCAGTGGAGAGCTGCCATGGACGCAGAGATGGCCTCCTACAGATCCACAGGCACCTACGTCGATGAGGTTCCCCCTCCGGGGGCGAACGTAGTCGACGGCATGTGGATCTACAGGGTGAAGCGGCCACCGGGATCTCCTCCGGTCTTCAAGGCGCGCTACGTGGCTAGAGGTTTCAGTCAGCGCGAGGGAGTTGACTTCTTTCAGACCTTCGCGCCCACCCCGAAGATGACCACTCTTCGGGTGTTACTACACGTAGCAGCACAGAGAGACTACGAGTTACACTCTCTCGACTTCTCTACTGCTTTCCTTCAGGGCAGTCTTCACGAGGAGGTCTGGTTGCGTCGTCCCTCTGCCTTCACTGGCTCTTTCCCTCCTGGGACCCAGTGGAGGCTGAGGCGACCGGTTTACGGTCTTCGTCAGGCTCCTCGTGAGTGGCACGACACCCTGCGTTCTACCCTGTCTGACCTTGGGTTCCAGCCGTCTTCTGCTGACCCGTCGCTGTTCGTTCGTCGTGGCCCCACACCTTTCTTTGTTCTGGTCTACGTTGACGACCTTGTTTTCGCCACCCCTGACAGGGTTGCTTTGGCACACGTGAAGTCCGAACTGCAGAAGAGACACACCTGCACTGATCTTGGTGAGCTGCGCCACTACCTTGGCCTGCAGATCACCAGGGACAGAGCTGCTCGCACCATTACACTTTCACAGTCGCACATGGTGCAGCAGGTCCTTCAGCGGTTCGGGCTTCAGCACTCCACAGTACAGCGCACACCTCTTGCTGTTGACCACAGACTCACTGGACCCTTTCCTGACGAGCCGTTCGAGCCTAGTGGTCCCTACGCAGAGCTTGTGGGTTGCCTCATGTACCTGATGACTTGTACTCGCCCGGACCTCGCCTTCCCTCTCAGCGTTCTTGCGCGCTTTGTTGCGCCAGGGAGACACCGTCCTGTTCACTGGACAGCAGCTGTGAGGGTGGCGAAGTACCTAGCGACGACGTCAGGCGTGGGGCTAGTTCTTGGAGGGCAGCAGTCTGTCGTACTTACTGGTCACTGTGACTCCTCTTACGCTGACGACGCTGAGACTCACAGGTCTACTCAGGGGTACTGTTTCAGCCTGGGTTCTGGAGCTGTTTCCTGGCGGTCCACGCGCTCCTCTTCGGTCTCGACCTCTACAGCTGAGGCTGAGATCTACGCTGGTGCCATGGCGGCACAGGAGCTGCGTTGGTTGACCTTCTTGCTCACCGACCTTGGTGAGCGGCCGAGCTCTGCACCGACCTTGTTCACTGACAACAAGGCGTCTATTCTCCTTTGTCGAGAGCCACGACTGGAGAGCAGAGTGAAGCACATTCACGTCAGGTACTTTCTTCTGCGAGAGTTGCAGAGGCGTGGACAGGCTCGCTTTGAGTTTGTGGAGTCCGAGGCCAACACTGCAGACATCTTCACCAAGGCGCTTCCGCCTTGTGACCACCAGAGGTGCTGTGTGCAGTTAGGCCTTGTTGACACTGGTTCTCGTGTTGCTTAGGCTTGAGTGTACTGTTTACTTTGCTTTCTATATACCTCTGTTACTTCTTGGACTGGCCTTGTGGCCACTGTTGTTTGTGCTCAGACTGTGTGGTGACGTTGTGATCCACCCTGAGCTTCGTTTCTTGGACTGGTCTTGTGACCGTACTCGTTTGGTTCTGCTAGACACCCCTCACTTAGGCTATGGGGGTGTGTCAAATGTTGTAGCCTATAGTGAGGTTTGTCTTAGGGGGTACAAAACTTAGGGTTAGCTATATGTACCCCAACCAACATCAATGCATCATCCATTCCTCATTCTGACATCAGCGTTCACATCACCCTGCTCAACCTGCTCACCCTGCTCACCCTGCTCACCCTGCTCACCCTGCTCACCCTGGTCCACATGCACTTCCCCCAAGGAGTGCTGCGCAAGAACCACCTACATCAGTGGTGTTATAGAGCGGCGAGTCGTGCCACATCAGCATGCGCGACATGAACCAATCATGGAGAGGCGGGTCGGGTGACATGGCTTCTGGGGGTGACGGATCAACGACCACCGAACCTGGTGTTGGATTGGGGAGCGGAGAGCGTGAGGTGAGGCGTGTGGAGTGGACCTGGAATAACATCGCGATTCGCAACCACCCACATACACATGCACGCACACACACCACCACCCATAATCACCCACACCCACACCCACACCCACACCCACACCCACACCCACCCCACACCCACACCAACACGCACGAATCATGCACGCCCATGCATTCCCTCTCCAAAAGCACCGTCCTCCCACGTACCCCATCGGTCATCCTTGCCCAGAGAGGCAGCCCGCCGCGGCAGCTTAGAGGGGGTGATCTTAACAGGGGCGGGCTTAGCTGACGCGCTGCCAGCGCCCTTCTTCTTGGCGGCACTGGCAGCACTGGCCGAGCCGGCAGTGGTGGCAGCGAGGTGCAGGTCGTGCCATGACTGCGCTACTGCCACCGCCATCAGCGCCACCACATCCAACCGCTCGTGGGGTTGCACCTGTTTGGTGGGGGGGGGGGGGGGGGGGTATGGACGCGGGGGTGGGGAAGAGAGCGCGGTGGGAGGTGGGAGCGGAAAATGGGGCAATGAGGAGAATCGGCTGAACATTGACAAATGGTCGACTGGAGAATCTGCAATGTAGAGGTTTAGGGTTGCTTGATAGAGCGATGTAGTTGATTGGGACGTTATTACAAAGAGTGTGACACATAGATGCAAAGAGGGGGACCAAGGAGACTTGGCTGGACGGATACGCTTGGTTACCATCACGTGGTGAGGAGGACGAAGCTCTTACACACATGCACACACACATGCACACACACATGCACACACACAAAACAGACCCCTTCCCACCTACTACTGACCCCTTCCCCCCTTCCCCTGTTTTTTGTAAACTCTCAAAAAACAGATTCAGCCTACTACAGACCCCTTCCCCCCCCCTCCCCCGCGCACCTCGATCCCCCCGGTGCGCCAGTTGAAGAGTGCAGTGGCCACGCCCCCTGGGCAGTCCTCTGGATACCGCACCACCGTCACATACCCCGCCTCCTCCCCCTCCCTGTCCTCCCCTCCCCCTTCGCCTCCCATGGCCCCCCCGCCCGCTCCGCCTCTCTCCCCCCTGAAGGCATGTGCCGCTGCTGCACTGGCTGTGCTGGACGAGCGGAGGAGTGTGGAAGTGGAGGAGGAGGTGGTGGGAGGGGAGAGGGAGGAGCGAGGGCGGGAATAGGCGAGTCGGCGACCAGGAGCAAGAGCCATCTGGGGGTGATCATGTAGGTGGGGGTGTTGAGGGCAGGATGAGGGGGGAAGGGGAGGGAACGGAGGAAGAATGAGAGATTGTTTAGGATAGAATAGCACATGATGTGAGATGAGTGGAGGGAAGTAGTGGGCAGGAGCATGTAGCAAAGCTGGTCACAAGCAGGCACGTACCGGTGGCCCTGGCACCTTAGCCACATGGAATCGCAGGCCTGGGAAGGCCGGCGAACTGGCAGACGAGGAGGAGGCGGAGGCGGAGAGAGAGGCGGAGGAGGGGAGAGAGGAGGCGGAGGGGAGGTGCGAGTGGCGCAGAGAGACTTGCAGCGTCCAGCCAGAGTAAGCCATCCAGGTGCGCTGCGTTGCCATGGTGTGGTGGGTCCTCAGCTGACACACCTCGTCCACTCGCTCCCCTGGGATGGAATCACGGGGATGCACATTGCACACAGGGTATATTGGAGGTGCGAGCAGACGGGAAACATTGGCGGGCGGTGGGGCGGGGAGGGAGAATGCAAGAACAGGATCGAGAGGAGACGAGAATGGCAGACGGGAGAATGGCTGGCAAGAGATGATCGGACGAAATGGGAGGAATTGCAATGCAATGCAGTGCAATGCAGTGCACGCACCAGCGGCCACAAGCACGCCCTTGACCTTGGGAGAGGGCGACCAGCCTCCCCTGTGCAGCAGCACCCGCTTCGACTCCGGTGGCACCTCCACCTGCTGTGACCCGTGCCCCTTGGCCACTCTGCACCCACGCAGGGGCACGGACGGAGGAAGATGTATGGGTTGAAGGTACGGTCGGGGGAGAGAGGTGAGGGTGGCAGCCATGAGGGTAGTTGAACTGACGTGACCTGGCAGGTACAGAGACTGCTTCCCTTCGTTCCACTTCAACTCAGTTCCCATGTGCACTGCTTCCCATGTGGCCTGGCTAGCCGTTGTCACCTGCAAGCTGCTGCTGCTGCTGCTGCTGCTGCTACTGCTGGCTCTTTCCAAAGCGTGCCTCAAGTCATAAGTTACAAAGAGCGAGGAGATCTCATCTCACCAGGTGAATCTGAGTGTCGCTTTTGAGAATTCGCGAAAAAAACTCAGATTCAGCAAGGGGAACTCGTCTCACCGGGTGCGTAGGACAAAGCGCTCTGTGAGTGTGTGGTCTACTACAGTGCGTGCCATCCACCGCCCCTCCTGCTGCTGCTTCAGCACCGCCGCTGCCACTGCTGTGAGCTGCAGCCCCGTGTCGTCCGTGCCCACTGCTGGCTGCAGCATCAGCAGCACTGGTGCCGGCTGGGGGGGCCAACACACAAAGAAGAGCGAAGGGGGAAGAGAGAGGAGGGGGAGCAGGGGAGTGGGAGGAGGCTAAAAGGGGAAATCGATAGACTAGATGAGCTCCTGAAGGAGAACGAGAAAGGCGAGAGGGAGGGGGGCGAGGGTAAGAAGGGATGGATGGAGAGAGGGGAGGAGGGGTGATGGGAAGGCGGCCAGGAGAGGGGGGCAAGGCGGGGCAGGATGGAGAGGGAGAGTACCTGAGGTGGCTTTTGAGGATTCTCAAAAGTCACATGAATATAGTACCTGAGGTGGTGTGACGGAGACGTGAATGCGGACATGGGGATTGTCAGAAGAACCCTGTCGGTGGCACAAGGGACGAGAGCATGAGCCCACAGGGAGAGACACAATGTGAGCACACAAAGAGTTGTTGACCAGGCTGCTGCACAGCATTCATTGTGCACAGCATTCATTGTGCACAGCATTCATTGTGCACAGCATTCATTGTGCACAAGACACAATGAATGGGACTGACACAAGTGTGCACAATGCCTTTTACGCGCCTCAAAAGTAGGTACGGCATGGGGGGGAGACAAGGGAGATAGGGGGGGGAAGAGGGGGAGAGTGAAGGAGGGCCGATCAAACACAGCCTTCATTCTTTCTGACTGCAACCATAGCACAATGGTAACGCCCTCACCTTTCCACCCGCTGCTGCGCCCGACCCCAGTGCCAGGGCGCCATGCCACGAGAGGTCCTTAGCGCCAAACACGTCGCTCCACAGCACCGTCGCCTCGCCCAGACTCCTCGCCTTGTGCGCGCCGCCCATCCCCGCCATGCCCGCTATCCCTGACAGCCGCCCCTTGGGAGGCTCCAGCAGCAGCTGCAGCACCACGCCCTTGGTCTCCACGTCTAGGGATAACCACCACGTGGGAGCGCCCGGCCATGGGTGCTCGTTTGGCGGGAGGGACTGAGAAGAGGTGGATGATGGGGAGGGGAGGGGGAGAGGGAGAGGGAGCTTGTGGGAGCGGAGGCGGAGCGAGGGGCAGGCGGAGAGGGCGGAGATTTGCAGCGAGAGGTCGCCTTTGAGGGAGGCGGGCAGAGAGGCGACGGAGAGGAGGGAGAGCGTGGCGTCAAAGACGTGCCGAGGGGGGATGCCGGCGCGCAGATCGCCCCGCGTTTCTTGCATCGGAGACGCTCCAGGCGAGGACACAGGAGAGGCGATCTTGGAGGTGCCTCGGGAGCTGTTTCCCGAGGGGATGTGGCTGCCAGGGTTGCTGCTCGCGGCACTGGTGGCGCTCCCTGCCCCGCTCCCTCCTCCCCCTCCAGGCTTGGATTTCAAGGGAGGGGGGAATGGGAAGGGAGGAGGAGGGGGCTCCTTGCGAATGGTGCCTGCTCGCGCGTAGGGCCGGCCATAGAAGCCCAGCCACGTGGCGGCTGTGGATTGGGTGGCGGAGGCGAGAGAAGGGCTCTGCTGCTGCTGCTGCTGCTGCTGCTGCTGGTGTTGGGTGGAGGGGGAGGCGGAGGAGGAGAGGGGCGCGTGGGATGAGGTGGGGGGGGCGTGGTGGTCCGGGAGGGAGTCGTGGTGGGCGAGAAGGCGGCCTAAGAGGGCGTTGCAGTCCTGCGCGTATGCCAGAGGCGCGAGCTGCACACAGACGAGGGGGGGTGGAGAGGGGGGGGGGGATTAGAAACGACACAGTCACACAGCGGCTTGATTATCTTGTGAGAACGAAAACGGGGGAGGTTAAGAGAGAGAGGGATTTTATTATGAACGAAAGTGTGGAAGCGAGAAGGGGGGGTGTTGAGCTGCACAGAGAGGGGCTGAAGGGGCATGATAGGAATTTGGGCTGTTGAGGTGTCGCTTTAGAGAATTCTCAAAAGAGGTGTGTTCAACCTTAAAGTGGATCAGTGACCTTCCCTTGCGGGCTTCACCTGATGTGCATGCCACACGAAATCAATGTCAAGAGCAGGAATAAACATGCTGCCAGCCCCACCACTGCCATCACCACCACCACCACCAGCAGCAGCACCACCACCACCAGCACCAGCAGCAGCACCAACAGCGGAGTCAGCAGCAGGGAGATGGTGTTTGACTAGCCAGAGGAAGGCCTTATAGCGCTCGACAGCTCCTAGGAGATACTTGGCGTCCTGCATGTGCGGGCGTGCTATCTGGTGGTAGAACCGCGCCTGCCGCGCCACTGCTGCCTCTAAGTCATACGATATCCTCTCCTGCACTGACGCTGCTGCTGCCTCCCCTCCTGTACTCTCCCCCGCTTCTTCCGGCTCCGCCCTGCTTCCTGGCGCACCAGCAGCAGCAGCAGCAGGTGGAGAGCCGGGGGAAGGAGCACGAAGCGTGGAGTGGGAGCTAGAGGAAGCACCGAGCAGGCTGGGCGGGAGGTGCAAGGCGGAGAGCGAAGCAGCAGCGCCGGCGGCAGTGTTAGCCGCTGGCTGGAAGAAGTGCAAGTCGTAGGGATCACCCGGCCACCTCTCGTTCCACACACGGCGACTCACCGCCACTGCCTCTGCCTGCTGCTGCTGCTGCTGCGGGTCCGTGAAATGGTGGAACGAGTGCGTGTGCATGGAGGGGGTGGGAGGGGAGTGCAGGGACGGCGAGTGCGGGGAGTGTGCGGAGGAGGAGAAGGAGGAGGTGGCGGAAGAGGAGGAGGAGGCGGCGGGGTCAAGGAGGGGGAGTGGGCAGTCGAGAACCCGGGAGAACATTGCCATGCAGTCACGGGCATATGCGTCCTGGGTTGAGGGCGGGTGGGCATGGATGGGGAGGGCCGGTGGGGGTGGGTTGGTTGAGTGAGTGGACACGGGGGGGCGAGAGATGGGGAAAGAAACGGGGGGAGCGTTACACACATGGGTGGGTGCACGTGGATGGGAGCACGAGGATAGGAGCAGGAGGATGGATGACTGTACAAGCATGCGCAAACATGCGCTGCTGCTGCTGCTGCTGCTGCAGCAGCAGCAGCGCAGTTGTGAAGGATACGATACGATTGCAATACATCAAGTAGATAGATCCTTGCAACGAAACGCAGTGAGGTCAGAGGTCATCCTCCTCCTCAGAACGACAACGACAACGACCACAGGTGCAAGGGGGGGGGAAAGGTAAAGGCCCAGCAGCGGTGGCATACAGGCGCGAGTCTGTGGCACAGCCATATCCAGTGCACGTCCAGAGGCGGCACGAGGTACGATGGCAGCTCCGCTTCTCCTCCACCCCTGCTTGCTGCTGCGAGCCGCCCCCCTTGAAGCTCGTCCAGCAGCGGCAGCCAGCACCGCTCGTACCTGCTCGGGTGGGGCAAAGGGGCACAGCAACAGCACAGCAACACAGCAGCACAGCAGCACAAAGAGCACAAGGTCATGAACTAGGCCCAGGCCTCGTTCTAAGCAGTACACTCACCGCCCTGCAATGACGTGTCTCTCTCACCCCACTTTTCCACAAATCCCCCTCCCTCCCCCCTCCATCCCCTCTCCATCCCCCCTCCCTCCCTCTACAGAGATTCCCAGCGCCATGACTCGCCTGCGGATGGCGCGGCGCACGGCGGGGCCGGAGTAGAGGCCCGCGCAGCAGTCCACGGCGCGCAGCAGGCGGAACTGCTGCTGCGCCGCCGCCACCAGGTCCACGCTCACGCGCACCGCCTGCTGCGCGCGCTCCCACTCGCTTCCGCCGCTGCCGCTGCTGCTGCCGCTGCTTGCGCCGGCTTCCTTCATTCTTATGCAAGGGGTGCGCAGTGAAAGGCGGAAGCTTATTTTGTAATACTTTTCCTAGATGCGGCCTGAAATGGGATTGGCGCGAGAACGGACGGTCAGCTGACGATCGGATGGACGGTCGGATGGGCGGTCGGATGGACGGTCGGATGTATGGTGGGTTGGAAGCCCTGGCGATGCCAACGGCCCTTGAGAGCAGATGCGTAGTGAAAGAACTCAAAGCCAGGAACTCGAGCTCTAACAAAGTGGAGGAATGGTAACGGTGAATCTGTATTTCGCTCTGCGAATGGCCGTGAGAGCGGTTGTGGTGGTGGCGGTGGCGGTGCCTGAAGGTGCGGCTGCGGCTGTGGCGGTGGCAACGGTCCTTCCGCGGAGGTTGCCGGGCGGTGCGCCGATGCAAGCAGGATCAATTAGTGACTAAAACCCCGCTCGCTGCTTGCCAGTGGGGGCGCTGTCGCATCCCCAGCCGAAGCAGTTTATTGGTCTGTTCTTCTCAGCCGTCGAGCAAATGTCGGCTTGCGGAATTGTCGACACAGAAGGGGAGAGCCTGAACGGCTGAACGGGTGAGCCTAGGATAATTAGAGGGAATGAGGAAGAAAAAGAACGACCGTTTCACGAAATGTCGCGTGCACAAAGCCACGCCTCGATGGCGCAAAGGCGCTTCGAAGAAAACGCGAATTTGGCGGGGGAAAAAAGGGGACGCAGCGTGATCGGCGGAGAGTGCTGCCTTGAGTTGTGGGCGTGGCGGGTTATACAAGAACCGCCTCGCAACAAGGTGTTGAACTCATTCAGCCATATGTTCATGCAGCCATATGTCTAAATGTTCCTTCAGTTTCCCAGCTTCAAGATGCCAGTGATCCCACAAGGATATGCCAGTCAACAGAGGCGAGGCGAGACGAGGCGATCAGGTGAGGCCACAATCCAAACGCGTGAGGCGAGGAAGGGGAGGGAGCGAGGAACACCCAGAAAGTACAGTGTACTTGTAACACCAGTACAGTTCAGAGCACGAGCGTGCCAGGCAGGCTCCAGACCAGAGCTGCAGCAGAGCGCGCCAATGACAAGTCAGTCTGTTTGTACAGTGTAACGTACTGACACCCGCACTCTTGGTGATTCTGTCGAGGGTGATTACCTGCAATACTGTAGGTCAATGTGAAAACACTTCGGGAAGAATCGGAATCTGACTTCTAGGTAAACATGGTCAATGATTTGCCATTATCATTCTAAAATGTTATTTTCCCGCACTCGAATGAGGGGATGATTTCCATTTCCGCTTTCCTCAACATCCGTAAATCGTCGTCTTCGTCCACTTCCGCATGTAAGACAGGGACCATCAGCAGCGCACCACCATGACAGTGATTCTTCCGAGCTTCCCCTTCATGCACCCGCCAATCTTTATCTTCGAAACCCTTTTGCTTGCTTCTCTTTTCCAGTCGTGCCACTCCGTAACCAGAGCTGCGATAATCAGCGGGGATGGCGGCGCTTTTCATGGAGAACACGGGAAATCCGGCGCTTTTGGCGGTGAATGCGGACAGAAAGATACAGAATCTGCAGTCCCAAGCGGGATATCCGGCGCGACACGCGTAGAGACGTGCCGCGCTGATAGTCGAGAGCTCAGAGAAGCGGAAGCGCGCGCGGTGGCAGCGGAGGAGCGCGCGCGGCTGGCGGAGGGCCGCGCGGAGGGGCTGGACGCGGAGCTCCGCGGAGCGCTGAGGGACGTTGCGCGACTAGAAGACGCGATCACAGAGATGGGTTGGTGGGTCGGGGGAGAGTAGGGGACAGGCGCGGGGCAGGATAAGGGGCTGGGGGAGGTGTGGGGGAGAGCGGAAGGGGTGGAAGGGGGAGATGCATGGGGACGGGGGAGGCTGAAGCGCGCCGAGCATGCACAGGGGGGAGGTGACGACAGGTTTCCATATGACTTGTGCATGTGTGTCTGCGTGGGTGTGGGTGTGGGTGCCATCTGCAGTGTGCTAACTCCGCTCTGCCATCTGCCCCCTTGCACCCCTCTGTACCTATCTGTTCGCCCCGCATGGTCATGGGTGGTTACCAGAGGAGCAGCTGGCAATGGAGGAGAAGGGGTGTGGAGAGAAGACGGGGGAGGTGGTGAGGCAGTTGAGGGAGTGCATTGGCGGGAGGGAAAGGGCGAATGCACAGCTGCGCGAGTGTGGTGAGCAGCATCTCGGCATTTCAAGCAACACTGCTGGGCTGTTTGTTCATCTACGCTCTGGGACTCAGCGCATTGCAACACAGCAGCACCGCATTCCACCTCACTGGTTTTCCTCTCCCACCGGTTCCGGGCGTTGTTATGACTTCCTGCTTGTCCTCACCCCATCATGTCTCTCTCCTCCCTATCCTTATCCCAATCCCGCAGAAGCCTTCTTGGCAGCAAGCGAAGAGCAGGAAGAATGAGCATTACAAGCTGTGCCACAGCACCACAGCTAGAGATAGAATGTACTTGCAATATACCGTATCTACCACATTGGTCAAGTCAACGTGCTGTGTTCCTATGGAACCTTGCATTTTCATGGAAGGGCATGATGCTATACCGTAATTTGTTTCAATGATGCAAAGAGGGTAGCAGTAGCTGTTCAATAAGCTTTAATCTATCTTCATTGCATGTAAAAAATTATTATACAAAGGAGAGCTCTCAGCTCTCCCACCTCTCAACCTGTGTCCCTCGCAAGCGTGCTCTTTAACCAGTACTTCACGAAATACAACAGGGAGCTTGCAGGATGCTGCTCGTACAATACAACGCATACGTAGTGAAGTATGGTACCAGTGAAACTTAACCGTCACTATCGACATCCAAGGAAGGACCATAGTGAACTAAGGTGGTGTGTCCTGGCGCACATTCACTGCCATGCCACATACCACCCCCCTTACGGACTGCAGAAGGCATGTTACACCATGGCATGCCCCACCATGACATTCACATCACACCATGGCATGCCACTCCAAGACATTTCACGCCATGGCATGCCACAAAACCTCTTTGCTCAAAGGCATGCCACATCCTGGCACGCCACATCCTGGCATGCCACATCCTGGCATGCCACATCCTGGCATGCCACATCCTGGCATGCCACATCATGCCACCTTACACAATGGCACGCCACACCATGGCATTGAAGGGATTCTATCCGAAGGGGGTTCCACACACCCACCCAAGGGATTTCAACCACATCCCCTCTCACTCACCCTCCCTAGGGGTTTCAGCCCCCACCCCACTCACCCAACCAAGGGGTTTTAGCCCCTCTCACCACCACCACAACCATCCTCTCCCCCCCTGCCTCCTTTCACCACCATCTCCTTCACCCCAGCCTGTCCCCATCCTTCACCCCAGCCTGCCAGCAGTAGAAGCAGCAGACAGCCCACTCCCTCAGAAAACATACCACACTGTATCATACCTAAACCTGAACCTGAACCTGAACCTGAACCTAAACCTAAACCTCTGAACCTGAGGGGTTTACCTGGAATAGCAAGGGAAGGTCTGTGGCTTGAGTCGCGCCCCAACCAGTGGCGAGATTTGACAGAACGAAAAGAATGAATGAAGAAGCAGAACTGAAATCAAACGAAAGCACTTGAGAGGCAAGGCTGATGGAGGCGAAAGACTTAGCTGAAAGTTGGAGCAGTGGTGGTGCAGGCGGAGAGGGTGCCTTGATTGCAGAGTGGGCGCGGGGGTTGAAAGAATGGACCTGCGAGGCAGAGGAGGGGGGAGAGAGAGAGTGAGTGGCAGGCAGGTGAAAGGGAGCGGCAGTTGCAAGTGAGAAGAGCGCCTGACAGCAGTGCGAGTGCAGAAACGACGGTGCATGTGATGCCGCCCACAGCCCCACAACAGCCACTACTAACCTGCACCTGCACCTGCACCTGAACCTGACCTGAGGGGGAGCGGGCTCATGTGGAGTGACAGAACAAGCGACAGCTCTGCTGGGACGGTAGACTTTTGCGACATCATGAGTGTCGCCACAGACGTCGAGACTAATGGTTCCGGCAAGGATTCGCCAGAAAACGCGCGGGTCCGCGAATTTATTTCCTCCCAAAGCCTGACACACGACGGAGAGGGCGCAAATTCGGGAATTTTGCGGAGCACAGCTACGAAGGCGGACTGCTGCTCCAACGGGCTGGCTGCAGACTGCGCAAATTGGGGATGTTCATGGAACAGCATCAAGTTTCTGATCGACATCCACATCATCATCGATCAAGCTCCATCATTGTCGTGATCGTACGGTCAAGATGAACTAACGCAGAACGAATCGGATCCTCCCAGCATCGATGACAATTCTAGATCCAACGGACCAAACGGCCTCTGCGCTGAACATAATTCCAAGAAAAATCAGAACATGAAATGCTATATTGTATGCTTGCAATCATACACTGTAATTCTTCATTTGCACTACAGTCCGACTCGGAAATCTTCACCACTAGGAATGTACTTAGCCTAGATGCATCACTCAAAACCACATGACAGGTATAAACTTTGTTTGTGCGCTAATGACGACACTGGACAATGTCTCGCTTGGGACGGTAAAATCCTACTTCATGCTGGTAAGTGAAATGCATAATCTAAAAATAGTCGACATCACTCCCTGGGTTCTTCTGATGAACCACGCTGCTGTACCAAACTGGGCACTTTGAAGACGCGAATGAAGCTGCTAGAAGCGGTTGCTGGAGTTAGAGAGGCGCACGGTTCCTACTTGCATGCCCACCTTCCTCTTCCGATGGTACACAATGGGACCGCATACTGCCAGTATTGCCAGCATGATGCCCTGCGCACAAGTGTCCATGCAAAGGTCAAAACAAAGAATCAATTGCACATACAAGAACATTCATGCATGGATTTGAGGGTAGAGAGAGTCGATCCACTGATCGGATCGGACCTAAGGGCGGGGCCAGCGCGTTCGTTTTTCACGAAATTTCAGTTCATTCTGAGCGGTTACTCTCGTTTCAACACGGTATAGAATGGTTGATCTTGAAAACCGCTGTAAACCGGTTGGAACATTTTTGCGCCACAACGCATGAACTGTACGATCGTGAAAAACGAACGCGCTGACCCCGCCCTAAGCTGTGTGTTGTTGTAACACAACAGAAAAATTCACAGGATAGTACCCGTAACACAACAGCAGCAGCTCCTCGGTAAAAGCTGTGGTATGCCAGGTGCAGGAAGGTGCAACGCGTAGAACGGCAGCAAGGAAACAAGAAAAGAAAAACAGACGAGTGGGCGCGATGAGCCAATGCCATCAGCCCATGTCAGTCTTGAGCCAGAGGTGCTCACCTCAAAGCCCAGCACCGACAGAGTCTCCACTTCAGGCTTGCATGACTCATACGTAAGGAAGCGCCTCATCCTCTCTTCCCCCACCCCCTCCCCTCCTCCACTGCCACCACCACTGCCAGTGCTGCTGCCTCTGGCGCCTTCCTCCTCTGCGCTGGCTTCCATGCTGCTCACCCGCCCTGCCACCTGCACCGTTCTCACTTCCCCCAGTAACCGTCTCAGCAGTACCTTCCCCTCCTCTGCCACTCCAATCCCCATCCCACTGCCCTCTTCCCTCCCCACAGCAAGCACTCCTTCCCTGTATTCCCCTCCCCCAGCTCGTTCCTCTTGCAGCCTAACCCTCCTAGGACCAGTCCCAGACAACCCACCGACCGTCTCGTCTACCCCCTGCTGCTCACCGCTACCAAGGCTTTCCTCTTTAGCTCCCTCACTACCGCTCACCCCAGCCATTTCTTCTTGGATTCTTCGCCCACTGCTCCCATTGCTCCCACTGCGTCCGCTGCCCCCCTTGCGCCCATCAGAACTAATCTCCTGCGCCTCTCGGCCTTCCCCGGCCCCGTTCTCTCCCCCTCCCACCTGCAACTCCCCGCCACCCTCACCCCCTGCGTCATCCATCCCGTCCCTCCCCCTGCCCGACGCCCTCCCCCCAGCCTCTCCGCGCGCCTGGCGCGCGCCCCGCACCACTTCCCCGCGGGGCTTGGTAGCGCCAGCAGAGCGGGCACGCGCGGAGGGGAGAGAAGAGACGGCGCCGATGTAGCGCTCGATGCAGGAGATGGCCTGGCGGTAGCCCGTCGGCTGGCACGCGGGGTCCTCCACCTGCGCCGGAGAGGGGGTGTGGGGGGGGAGGGAGGGGGAGGAGGGGGAAGAGCAGCTGAGGTGGGTGGAGAGGGGTTGCGGGGTGGGGTGCGATGGGCATGTGAGGGATGCGAGGGAGGGGAGGGGGTTGTTCTGGAAATGGAAGGAGAAGATGCGTTAGGGAGGCGGGAGGAAGTGGGAGGAGGGGTACCACGCCAGGAGTACGTTCAAGTACGGATGCGAACAATAAAACAAAAGCATGATTTGATTACCTTACTTGCTAGATTGAACAGCTTGGACAATCGTTAAAAACTTAACTTCTGGAAACGGGTCGCGAGCGTTCCTACCTTCTGCTGCTCCGTGCAGATAAGGCACGCGCCGGTGACATTGCACTGAGTACCCGTTGCCAGTGGATCCATGGCTCGCCCTTCCATCGCCTCCCCTACCCCTTCCCCGTTTCCCTCCCCGTCCCCCATCCCTGAATCCTCCTCTGGTTCATTTCCTTGCGATGAAGCCGTTGATGCCGTAACCACCCTGCCATGGTTGTAAAACGAGTGTATCCGACGTATTCGTGACGGGTATGTAGATCACTAATAAGATGATCCGAAACATCCAGTGGAAACGCAGGAGCGTTCATCCTGTAGATCTTATGACGAAATCTGCTACTCCAATATCACTGGTTAGTGGAATGATCGCTAAGGGCAAACCTGCAATACCCTCTCAGACGAAAGTATGTGCGGAGGGAAAGGAAGCGTACCGTCCGACGGAAGCGTTGGGTCGACACAGCGACGGTACGATCAGGAGACCGAGGACAAGGAGGATCAGCGCGATCCTACGGGCCATAGCTGCTATTGAAGAAGAACGATCAAGGACGGTGTGTGATGGGTGGAAGATTTCGGAGGGCTAGGTCGAATCAGTGCAACGAGACTCCTTATTGGAAGCCATTCACCGCAACTTCACGCAGCAACCCGAAGAAGCTAAGGTAGAGCTGACGACTTGATAAGTGGAATTAGTAGCAAATTCAGGGAGCACAAGATACAATCCACGGTGTCAGGACAGGAAGCAGTCGGCAACCCGACAATCAAGACGACATGGTGCGAAGCATAAATGATTTACCAAAACCGATGTGCTTCTTCGAAGACTACTCCTTCAAGAAATAGTGCCATGAAGGAGGAATAGTATTCTTACTAGTGAAAAACAGATAGCACGAGTTATCAAAACGCCTACAAGGCTGAATGGGGTGGATTTTCAGTGGAAAGAAATATATGATCGTTATCAAATATCAATATAATGTTTAAACGTTAATTTTTATTGGCTACCTCGGGTGATTCCTATAATTCAGTAGCACGAATATATATAGAAAGTAACATCGCAGAATGCCTGAACTTGACGTGAGTCAAACGCATTCATGGGGACCACAACAGCGAGAATTGTCACCCCATGACGATATGCAAGCAACTGCTTGCGACACTAATGCTGTGGCCGTGTCAAAACAGGTACTTTTGACCTCACCATCCCCAGGATCCCAGCAGAGATCACACGTGGCATTCCTCGAGCCGTCAATTTGCGAGAAACCCACAACAGCATTGTCACCGGGGAGGGCAGTCCAGGCGCACTCTCCCGTCACTCCAACGTGTCAACACGTCATCGCAGTTGCATAAACCCTAGACTGGAAACCAGCTGTCCCAACCGCAACTCCACCGTCTCAACTCAACTCCAACTTCCCCGCAAATTCAGGACTCGCATGGGATGCCTGCTAGCTGGGTCCGTCCGTGAGATGGGATGGTAGCAGGCGCATGCCTAGAAAGCTCCGATTGGACGCTGTCGCAGTCGCATACCGTCAAACAGCTCTCGAATCGAACGGAACAAACCGTAAGCCGTCACTTTCAGTCATCTGATAGCGCTAGCTTCATATTCAGCCAATGAGTTCGCCCCGTTGATGAAGTTCCCATACTCTTATCTGCTTCTGCTTGATCACCTCTAAGCCGTTAGTTTTATCCATAGATTGAAGGTACGCTAAGCTCCGTGGTTCGGTGGTCTGAAACCCTTGTTCTGCGTATTTCACTCCACAGCTCCACCCACTGCTCCTCGTTAGCGTCACTCCGAGTTCGACTGGTTCTACAGCAGCAAGGGCCATGACGCTCACTCCGCTGCACCCGCTGGACCCGAAGAGTGTTCGACATGTGGCTGCTGCAGCAGCCAAATCGCCGTTCCTTCGAGGTCCTGGCACGACATACCATACCATGTCGGATTGTGCGATCCCGGATAGTCCCGTCAGAAGCGGCTCTTTGCCGCGACGGCATCATCATCATCATCATCACGGTCTCCAGGTGGACGTGGATCCGATGATCGAGGAGGCATGGGAGGCCGCCGTTCATTCCTTCTCGGTACGTTGCTGCTTCCCTTGTGTTCGAGCCGTAGCCATGGCAGTCACTCCTGCTTGTGTGATCGCGCGCTTGTTCTTAGAAAGCCTTCTCAGGCTCCTAATTGGCATTCCGATCTTCCTCTCTTTTTTTTCCTTTTTTTTTTTTGCAGGATTTCCAAGGAGCGTTTGAAGGACCGTCAAAGGCGATCAAGCAGGGAGGAGCGTCCCTGGCGAGGAAGGCTCACGAGGTCGGTGAGGCAGTCTGGAAGACACTTGAACCGACCAACCTTCCTTGGTCTAGGGAGCAGTCTCCAAGGGTGTCCCCACGCGGTCACCATTAAATTCAGTGACCATTGATCAACCTTTGACCTCACTTACACGAGCGCCTTCCTGCAAGGCTGGCGTCTCTGCATACTCGGCCAAACAGACACCCATTCATACTGTATATACCATCACTCCAGCGGTTGCTGGAGGTGTGCAGTTGTTTTCACGTTTCCTTGTATAGAAGCTGTAAATAGTTGTTTCTGGAGTGGGAGTGATTGTTTCTTCTATAATGATCGTTCACATGTGTACTGACTGATCTTGTTTTGCAATAATGAAACTAAAACCTCCTTACTCCCTGTTTTACCTCACTGTTAAAGGTTCGTTGTAGGCTACAGCTAGAATAGCTCAATTGAATTGCAGCAAAAGAAACAAAGGTTCCTAAACACAAAAGTGGGGAAAATCCCGCACAGGCAACCCTACAATTCTATCGGACACCAGGGTAGGGTGCCTGGAGCAATGTTAGAGAGCATGGGCGTAAGCAGAGCAGGTGGGCAGGCAGGGGGCCAGTACAAGCTGCAGCACAGAGGGTACAATGCCACCTTGCTACAAAACAAAAACACCATCCGCAGCAGCTGACCCACAAATGTCTAGGCCAGGTACAACTGGCACTCGAGTGAGGAACAACAGCCACGTTCAATATGCACCAGAACCCCTCGCACTCCCACCCTCTCTGCCTCAGTACGTGCCACTCCAGCTCTGCTGGGAGCGTTGCGCCTGCGCTTGCTGCTGCTGCTGCTGCTGCTGCTGGTAGCTACCAGCACCACCGCCAGCAGATCCGCCAGAACCGCCAGCGCTACCACCCATACCCTGCGACTGCAGCAGTTGCTGGTGGGAGTGCCCGTGCACATGGCCTGAAGGCCCTCCGGGGCCTGACTGGGAAGCATGGTATAATCCCGCAGCGGCGGCAGCTGCTGCTCCGTATGCTGCTGCAGGGTGTGTGGCGTGGGCACCTGGTGCCTGGGGATGGCTGTGTGTGGCGGATGGGTAGCCCCCTGCATGACCAGCTTGTCCTGGTGCAAGGTTATAATACGATGACGTGGGCATGCCTGCTGCCACTGCTGCTGCTGCCATGTCTCTTGACACCTGCCCACAACACAATGCGTTGGACAAATGAGAAAAAGGAAAGAGAAACGGAATTCGGAATAAGGGAGTGGATGGAAGGCAGACAACGCACAAAAAAACTTGCGTCGAAGAGGTCTAAGGAGAACCAAAGGGTGAACAGCCGATGAACAGCCAAACAGAGATAAACCATACCTGCTGGCCTTGCAGGTATAGGCTGCTTGCGTCCTTGTACTGACTGCCCCCAACGTCCTCATATCCCCCGCTGCTCGTCCCGCCTGCTGACATCCCAGGCCCAGCACCATAACCCCCAGCTGCCCCAGGGTACGCTCCATACGCTGCTGCACCCGCAGTCAAGTGCCCTGTCCCCGCAGTGGAACCTGCCGCTTTATACCCTGCCGGCATGGGGTATTTCGCGCCTGCGACTGTGCCGGGCGGGTACGATGAGCCTGCTGCTGTGGGGTAGGAAGGATTGCCAGGCGCTTGTGGGTATGTGGAGGAGGGGGTTGCATAGCTGGGGTGTGAGTAGGGCGAGTGCATGGTGTAGTAATTGGGCGGCACGGCATACTGCGCATAGCCGGCATAGTTGATTCCGTAGTGAGCGCCCATGGGGATGCCTGCTGGCTGTGCCGCATAAGCAGCTGCAGCCGCATGCATAGGAACAGGCTGCTGCTGCTGCTGCTGTTGCTGTTGTTGCTGCTGCTGCCCTTGCTGAGGCTGCCCCTGCTGCGGCTGCTGCTGCGACTGCTGTTGAGGCTGCTGCTGCTGCTGCTGCTGCTGCTGCTGCTGCGGTTGCTGCTGCTGCTGCGCCTGTTGCTGGGAGAGCCCAGCAGAGTGGGAGGAGGCCTGCCCCATGGACGGAGCACCCACAATGCCCAAGCTGCTTGATGTCTGCACGCCCCAACAGTGAACAGGAAAGGTGGTTGGGCAGGGAACACACACAGCGCAGCAGTCAGCACAGCTGAGACAAAGCACAAACAGCGGCACTCAATGCGCACGTGTAACATTTCAAGTATAATCCGATCTTGGTAAAATCACGTGTAACATTCCCTAAAACATTGCATTGTTTCTTTACCCCTTTCACACCTCGCAACAACTTCTTATCCTTCCAGCACTTCACAATATCTCTCTTTCATTTCTTCACATCCTCCTTCCCACACTTCACACATCCATTCACCCATACACCCACGCACCAAACAGCTCCCTTCCAACACCCAGCTTACCTCTTGAGAAGGGAGCCCCTGTCCTGCACCAGCGACGCCTGCGGACCCGTACTTGGCGCCCAGAGCAGACCCGGACGAAGTTACGAACGGCGAGTAACGCATCTCGCCGTCGCCACTTGGCCTGAAAGCAGGCGAGTAGTAGCTGCCAGGTGGATCGCTGTACTGCTGCTGCAGGAACGAGAACGGGTGGAGCCACGACAGTAGAGGGAATAGCGAAGGGAGGTATAAGGGGCAAAAAAACTGACGCAAGGGGCAGGAAACGGCGTGCGGGAGTGAGAGCGGGACGATAAATCGGGTGGTCGGAATAAGCACAAACAAAGATACACAGATAGGGAGAGTGAGGGAGCATGCGAAGGAGATCGCATGCGCTGAAAAAGAAAGAACCAAAAAAAAGGCATTCATACCAGTCCCACGGACGTAAAGCGGGAAATGTCTCCGGCGACTTGTGGCTCTGACGCGTCGTATGCAGGGTATTGCCCTGCGGGCATCTGCGGGACCAGCCCAAACGCGGGATAGTTCTGTAGCGCAGGCACATATGGATACGCGGAAGGCTGCTGCTGTTGCTGCTGCTGCTGCGGCTGCTGCTGCTGCTGCGCCTGCTGCTGCTGCTGCTGCGCCTGCTGCGACAGCTGCTGCAGCTGTTGCTGCTGCGACAGCTGACTCTGCGCTTGCTGCTGCGGCTGCTGCTGCGCCTGCGCTGGCTGCTGCTGCTGCTGGGGCTGGACAAGCGGAGCTTGAGGGGCGATCGCCTGCTGAGCTTGAGTCTGCTCCGCGAGCGGCTGCTGCTGCTGCTGCGAAGCTACCTGCTGCGCCACCTGCTGCTGCTGCTGCTGCGGCTGGGCGGCAACCACAGGAGCCTGCGCCTCCTGTAGCATCGGCTGGGCAGCAGCTGCTGGCGCCTGCTGCGCAGCCGCCGCCGCGGCTGCAGCCGCAGCCTGCGCAGCAAACGCCGCCGCCTCTGCCTGCTGGCTCGGGAGCGGCTCCGCTACACCCGCCTGCGCCTGCTCGTCCTTCGCCTGCTCCTGCTGCTGCTGCTGCGCCTGCGGGACAGAGAGGTCTTCCTCGTGCTTGGGAGGTTCCACTGGTTCCACGTCCACGATCGGCGCGTGCTCCTCCTCCTCCTGCTCCTGCTCCTGCTCCTGCTGCTTCTCCTGCTCCGGCTCTTGCTGCTCCGTCGCTTGCGCAGCAGCAGGCTGCGAAAGCAGACTGATCGCGGCGTACGCAGAGGGATCGGACGCGGCGGTGGACAAGCGAGTGCGGAGAGGGGGAGAGAGATAGGAGAAGAAAAGAAACGGAGGATGAGGAGTGGCAAGGCAAGGAGGGACGAGAGAGCGGAAGGGGAAAACAGGGGTACCACACTAGAATAAATTTGGCAACGCAAACGGAAGGCGGGAGGTAACAGCGAATAGCAACTTTGAGAGCTGGAAATCAGTTACCAACAGGAAGCAGAGGAGAAACAAAACGGGACAAGTAAAAAAAGAAGAAACTGACCTAGACGAACCGACAGCGTCACCAGCCTTGCTAGCGGACAGCGCGTCCGCGCCAAAGCCAGTTCCGAAGGACGTGCCAAACCCAGCTCCGAAGCTGCCGAAGCTGAGGCGCGTCTGGTCAGCCTCGGGGACGCGCAGATGACCGGGAATGATGACAGGCTTGTCGTCCTGCAGGCCCAGGCTCTGCAGCTTGCTTGCTGCTGCCGCCACGCCCGAACGGTCCTCTGAACGGGAAGCATCAATCAGACAAGGGCGACAGGAAAGAGACACACACACAGACGCACGCAAAAAAGAAAAAACAGAACAAAAAACACGAAAAAAAAACTATGGATGAAGGCACTGGTTCCGGTGAGGGAGGCACGGGCATCTCAAACGACAAATCCACGTTATGGCTTGTTCTAAAGACAGGCACGCCAAGGCGATACCTGGAGCCGCAACAGCTGCCTCCGGTTCCTGCGCGGGAGTAACCGCCACGACGTCGGCATCAGCGGCAGCGGGAGTGCCAATCGATCCAAGAACGGACTGCTGCTGCGGCGGCGGCTGCTCAGCCACCTGCTGCTGCTGCGCGGCAGCCGAAACGGTAGCCGCGTCTGCCGCGTCGCTCATAGCACTCGGCACGGAAACCTGAACCGCGCTAGAATCGGTGCTGCTGCTGCTGCTGCTGCTGCTCTGCCACCAGCGTAACTCCAGGCAGTTGAGTTGCAGCAGCGTCGCTACCATCAGCCGCTTCGACAGCCACGCTGGCCGGCGGCAGCCGCTCCCCAATCGGCCTCTGCGTGCCTACTGTGCCCACGTCTCTCTTACTCTGCGGATGCAGTACTGGATCTGCTGCAGACGAGTACAAACTCGGCGCCGTAACGGCTGACGCCATTGTTGCCGCGAGATACGGCGTGGGTGCGGGGGGACCGGTAACGACGGGTGCGGCTGGCTGGGGAATAGGTGCGTGCAAGGTCGGGGCCGGTGCAGGTGCCGGGGCCGGCGGAGCTTGCTGTGCTTGCTGCGCGGCGGCGGACGACTTGAGCATATCCGCCATAGTCGTTCCGCCGCCGCCCCACAGCGAGGTTCCGCCAGGACGAGAGTAGAGCGAGCCTCCCGCAGGGGCAGGCTGACCAGGTAGGCTGTCAGGGGGGGAGCAAACGCAAAAATTGTGGCCGCACGAACACGACAGATTCAGTCGCGAGAATATTCTATAAAGGTCGTAAAACGCGCGACAGATCGGGCCAGACAAAAGCGGCAGCAAGATGACCGCTAGGGCGGAAAAGGATCTATAATTCTAGATACACGCCAGCCACCCAACAAGCCGAGCAGTTAAAGCCAGGGACGAGCCTAAACGAACCTTGTAGATTGATTCGCACCCAGCGCCGCCGAAACAGGCTGGCCCGGCGCAGAGCCAGGTACTCCGCCGGTCACGTACGCTGCCCCACCGCTGCAATCGCAAAAGCGCGTAAGACATAACAATCGCAGTCAAACGACAGGCTAACCGTCTCACAAAAGAAAACGAAACAGCGTGAAGATGGGTCAAAACGCGACAAGATAAAAAGCCAGCGGGCCGCCAAAAACTGCAGAAGCCCACCTTGGTGCTCCGACTCCCAGAACGGGACCCCTTTGCTGAGGATAACCGGAATACCCTCCCGGTGCACCAACAGGAGCTACACCATACCCTGGAGCCGGGGCCCCAACCACGGGAATGTAACCAGGCCCGCCTGGGGCTCCTGCCCCGCCAGGTCTAGAACTGGGATGAATCCCGTTTTCTCGTTGCGGCATCGGCCGTCCTCGCCCACCGCCATAGTCTGTCATGCGTGTGAGAATACACGGGCGGTTCGAAAGAGCAAAATCAGGACCAAAGGTCTAGGCTTCGTTCTACAGGCACATAGAAGTTTAGGAGCTTCAACTCTTGGCACGCAGGGAACACAGCCGGACTGCCAGAGAAAGATGCCGGTCGACGAGCTAACCTTCAAGAAGAAGAAAAAAAGGACACACACAAACACACACACACGAACGAAACGGATAACAGGCGAGAACTAGGGCCTCGTACCTGGGCGGTTAGAACCGCGATCTGATCCGCCGCCTCCTCTACCCCCGCCTCTTCCAGCTCCACCCCTAATTCTGACCTCGCCACCGTCCTGCGGATTCATGCATGAGAGAACAGTAGTGTGTTCAAAAGTGTGAGAACCATGACAGACAGGGACGGACGGTTCGGAACCTATGACAGCTAGGTCTGAAATGAGGTGTCGACTTGCTTTGACAACAAATTGCCGAGCTGGTAAAACGTTGTTGATAGACGCAAGTTACCTCTTTCTTCTTCCCCTTCTTCCGCCTCACTTCATGAAAGGGATCTGATGTATCCACGCAATAAGCACAAAGAAAGTGAGAAAACAAATCAGATTCGCGGCGGATCTAAGAGCTACGATCATTGAGAGCTCACGAAACTACGAATTTGGTCCTTGAACAAGTTTGAATCACAAAACACGAAGCGTAAGTCGGCACAAACCTTGATTCAACAACCTCTGAGCAGCCTCGTTCGGATCCATATTGCACTCTTTCAACGCTGCATAAATTTCCTCTTCCGTGTTTGACACGATTTCCTTCAATTCTTGCACGATCTTTTTGGCACTTGGCGGAATCATTACGCTTGTACTTCCTAGCCCTCGGCCGACTGGCCGGGACGTCTGTGAAACTGATCGGGACATGGCTCTGAACTGGTGTCACAAGGCTGACGGAGCTTGTTGCTGGATCTCGAAACTTGTGTATGGATGGAGGGAAACAGGGTTAGTGGCGTGTTCTGGGGTGTGAGGGAGGAAAAAGAAAGCAGTTGGGGAGCGAATGAAGGGGAAGAGGTGGGGGAAGAACAGAAGAGGCAGGGAGGAAGGAGTTCTCTAAACCCCTGCCAAGATTTTACCCTGTCACGCTGGTCCCTGACCTAAATGTCCCTGTGAGGGTTACCGGACCTGCGGACTTTCTTGGTTTTGTTGGGAAAACAACTGTGCCGAACGAATACACGTGGCCCACTAGGGTCTCAAAACTGACCTGACGCCGTGCGGTTCACAGGGAAGCGGTTCCTCGTCGTAATCTGAAACTCTGCTTCGGACAAGGGAAAAGGCGCGAGACTACGCTCGGCACCACAGCTTCGGATTTGAACAACAGATTTGCTGCGACTGTTCACAGGCCCCAACTTCAGCAAACCTCGAGAAAGGCAAAGGGGGTGGTGCAAAGAGGTAACATTCCTTTTTAGCATATACCTTAGACATTAATATTTGAAACATTGTCTTCGATGGTCAAAAACATTCATTTTCCACAAGGATGGATACAGCATTGTTGGCAAGGTCTTCAAGGGAACAAACAGCCAAATTAGCAACCATATTGTCTGTATATCCTATTCTTCAAAAGATTTCGCTCTTTCGATCAGCGACTCCACCTTGGTGAGCAATCGTACATAACGCATAGGCTTGAATGGTTATAATCGATCCGAACATCACCGAAATCATAAGCAGCTACATTGGGCACGCATCTGAATGGCCCAAATGAAATCAATGTCGTATGCTTTGTCAAATTATATATGCTGCATATTGTGTAGGCTGTAGTGGGGTAGCCCATATGGGGTACAACCCAATTAGGGTTTACTACTTGTACTCCTGCATGCTGCTAGTTCATCCATTCCTGCCTAGTAATTCTAACATGGTATTCAGAGCAGGAGGTCCCTAGGACCTCAGGATCGATTTTTTTTTAGGGCCCACCACCTACTGCCTGCGGTTACCGTGCTACCCCACGCCCTGCCTGAGCCTACTAGTGCTGAGCCTGGGGGTGCGGAGCCTGGGGGTGCTGAGCCTGGGGGTGCGGAGCCTAAGGGGGCGGAGCCTGGAGGTGCTGAGCCTGAGTGTGAGGAGTCTGGGGGTGCTGAGCTTGGGGGTACTGAGCCTAGGGGTGCTGCACCTGGGAGCACTGAGGCGTCTGGTGAGCAGTCTCCCTGGAGCGGCCGTCTCCGTAGTCGCTCCGCTGGTGTCTCGCCGCTGCACTCTCGTCGTCTACTCCCTCTCTCCCCACAGCAGCTGCTTGAGTGGTACCTTGGCCGTCAGGGTCGCGCTGCTGGAGCTAGGGGCCCTGCTGCTGGAGGCGCTGAAGCTTGTGACTCTGCTACTAGAGTTGTTTCTGCCGGAGGTTCTGGCGCTGGTGGCGCTGGAGCTGGAGGTTCTGGAGCTGCTGAGGGTGCTGAGCCTGAGCGTGAGGCGACTGGAGGTACTACGTCTGAGGGTGCTGAGCCTGTGCGTGTGGAGTCTGGGGGTGCTGAGTCTGGGGGTGCGGCGCCTGAGGGTACTGCGACTGCTGGTGCGCGGTCTCCTTGGAGTGGCCGCCTTCGTCCGCGTGTGCCTCTCACCTCACAGCAGCTGCTTGACTGGTATGGACGTCGTCAGGTTCGTGCTGTTGGAGCTCGCAGCTCTGCCACTTGAGGTGCTTCTGCTGACGCCACTGGAGCTGGGAGTGGTGCTGGTACTTTGTCTACTGGAGGTGCTGGAGTTGCTGGTCCCGGAGGTGCTCGTACTGGCAGTACTGGAGCTGCTGGGACTGGAGGTGCTGTGTCTGGGGGTGCTGCTGCTGGAGACGCTGCGGCTGGAGACCTTGGGACTGGAGGTGCCAGTTCTGGGGGTGCTGCTGCTGGAGACACTGAGGCTACAGACCCTGGGACTGGGGGTGCAGGTTCTGGGGGTGCTGCTGCTGGTGGAGCTGGTCCTGGAGGAGCTGGTGCTGCTGGAGGCGCTGGAGCTGCTGGTACTGGTGGCACGGCGCAGCCACGACTGTTCTTCCCTCCGCTGTCTCAGTCGTCTCCGCCACCGCCTGACTCTGTGCTTCGCCAGGTTCTTAGCCTCTCGTCTTCTACTGGTCTTCCGTTACAGCCTGGCTCACCGCTGCCTGCTCCTTCTCCTTACACTGAGCAGCTCGGGGGTCTTACTGAGCGTCGTGAGCCTGCGTCGCGTCCTGTCTCGCCTGTTCCCACTGGTCGTACCGGTCGTCGTGTTTCTCGTCCGCGTCCGCCGCCTGTCCCCGGTGCGCACCTCGTTGTCCGTCGTCCTTCCTCTGCTCCGCAGAGTGTTCCTCTGCCGTCTCCTCTTGCGTCCTCTCTGCCCGACGTTCCGGACCCTGAGTCTGACCGGTTTCGTGCTGAGCACCCTACTGTTACGCGTCTGTTAGCCACTGTTGTCACCGACCCGTCCTTTGAGTCTGCTGCTGCGTCTGCCTTGGTCGCTGAGCTTGTTGACTTTGCTGCTGCCTGTCGTCTAGACTACGCTGCTAGTCTTGTTGCTGAGTCTGCGTCTGTCTGTCCTCCGTCTGTCGGGGGTGAGTGTGCTCTTGGCACGGACGTCCTTGAGGACAGGCAGGAGGACCTTGAGTGTCTTGCGGCCGCTGCGCCTCATCTCGTGGCCATGCTGCTTGCCCCTGAGGGAGACCCGGATGCTCTTGACATCCCTACCCCGCGCTCTTACGCTGAGGCGATTGCGGGTCCCTACTCCTCTCAGTGGCAGACAACCATGGACGCAGAGATGGCATCCTGGAAGTCCACAGGCACTTACGTTGACGAGGTTCCCCCTCCTGGGGCGAACATCGTCGATGGCATGTGGATTTTCAGGGTGAAGCGGCCGCCGGGTTCTCCACCTGTCTTCAAGGCTCGTTACGTTGCTCGAGGCTTCAGTCAGCGACAGGGAGTTGACTTCTTCTAGACCTTCTCCCCCACCCTGAAGATGACTACTCTTCGGGTGCTGCTGCACGTTGCCGCTCAGCGTGACTACGAGCTTCACTCACTGGACTTCAGCACAACCTTCTTACAGGGCAGCCTGCACGAGGAGATCTGGCTGCGCCGCCCACCTGGCTTCACTGGGTCGTTCCCGCCTGGTACCCAGTGGAGCCTCCGGCGACCAGTCTACGGTCTCCGCCAGGCGCCTCGTGAGTGGCACGACACACTGAGGACGACACTTGCGGCTCTTGGGTTTGCTCCTTCGACTGCTGACCCGTCGCTGTTTCTGCGCACCGACACTTCGCTGCCGCCGTTCTACATTCTCGTGTACGTCGACGACTTGGTCTTTGCCACTGCTGACACTGAGGCTCTCGCCCTGGTGAAGTCGGAGCTGCAGAAGAGACACACGTGCACAGACCTGGGTGAACTGCGCAGCTACCTTGGCTTGCATATCACCCGGGACAGAGCACGCCGCACCATCACACTGACTCAGTCACACATGGTGCAGCAGGTCCTTCAGCGCTTCGGTTTCCAGTTCTCCTCACCACAGTCCACTCCTCTGCCTACCGGTCACTCGCTCTCAGCTCCACCTTCGGACGAGTCCGTAGAGCCGAGTGGTCCTTACCCAGAGCTAGTGGGCTACCTCATGTACCTGATGACCTGCACTCGTCCTGACCTTGCGTACCCTCTTGGCCTTCTGGCACGCTACGTGGCTCCTGGTCGACACCGAAAGGTGCACTGGGATGCCGCGAAGAGGGTATTGCGCTACTTGTGCAGTACATCGGGCATGGGGCTCGTGCTTGGAGGACGGCGAGAGGTGGTCCTCACTGGGCACTCAGACGCTTCTTGGGTTGACGACCTGGTTACGCAGCGGTCGTCACAGGGTTACACTTTCAGCCTTGGCTCCGGTTCTGTTTCTTGGTGTTCTACTCGCTCGTCTTCTGTTCTCAGCTCCAGTTGTGAGGCTGAGATCTACGCCACTGCCATGGCTGCTCAGGAGTTACGCTGGCTCACTTACCTGCTGACCGACTTGGGAGAGCGGCCTCATTCTCCTCCAGTGCTGTACGTCGACAACAAGGCCGCCATTGCCTTGTGTGAGGAGCACAGACTGGAGCACAGAACGAAGCACATCGCTCTGCGTTACTTCTTGGCTCGAGAGTTGCAGCAGCGTGGTCAGCTTCGTCTTGCACACGTGGCCACTCGGGCCAACACTGCTGATATATTCACCAAGGCACTTCCGTCTGGTGACCATCAGCGCTTTTGTACTTTGTTGGGCCTTGTGCCTACGTTTCCACACTTGCTGTAGACTCTGCTTGTACTGTGATCCATATATATATATACCTGCATGCTTGCTCTTGCTAGGTAGTGATCACTGTACTGTTCTTGTTGCATATATATCTCTGCATGTGAACTGGCCTTGTGGCCCTTTGCTTGTGCTCAGTGTGTGTGGTGACGTTGTGATCCACCCTGAGCTTGTTTTGTTTTTTTTGACTGGTCTTGTGACCCCTTGCTCTCCCCCACTTTGCCTATGGGGGTGTGTCAAATTATATATGCTGCATATTGTGTAGGCTGTAGTGGGGTAGCCCATATGGGGTACAACCCAATTAGGGTTTACTACTTGTACTCCTGCATGCTGCTAGTTCATCCATTCCTGCCTAGTAATTCTAACATGCTTAACACAAGATTTAACACTCAGAGTCATCTTTGCACGACAAAAAGAAAAAAAGAAAGAAAGAAAGTAAATAAGAAAGAAAGAAAGAAATGAATGAATAAATAAATAAATCAATCAATAAATATATCAAAAAAAAAAAAGAAAAAAGAAAAGGAAAAAAAAGGGGGGGGGGGCGTTGATCGGGGCGGTCTTGGTGTCGGCATACCCATTTTTATAAATCTATATACCTTTTATATTGGCTATATAAAGGATTTAACCATAAAGGCACCTCCCCAACTCTGTGAACTGCCCACCGAGCTCAACAGGCTCGTCGAGGACAGGGGTCAAGCAGATAAGGCCAAAACGCTGTGGGATCTGCTGCACAATACGTGAATAAGTCAACGTGATGGTGCGAGCTGCTTTGTCACTGGTAATATGTAGGTGAAAGTACTAGCGCGACTCATCTAGGTCAGTGTAAGTGTGTCTCATTAATGACCTTACCTTCACAAAGGCCAATGCGACTCTGCTCGGTGTAGCGAACGAGAATAGACGAGGCAACTTAGGACGGGAAGAAGCAGAGGTCAGTTAGAGTAGCATGCAGCGTGTCGTGCCACTCACAAGGCGCCTGACGCAGCCTGTAGTGTCAGAACATTGTGTTGTGTAGGCTGTAGTGGGGTAGCCTGTATGGGGTATAACCCAGTTTAGGGTTATTACTTGTACCAAACTGTTTGCTAGTTGATTGATTCCTGCTGTTCATTCTGAGATGGTTTCAAAGCAAGTCATGTCCCAGGACCGTTCTCGTTAGGGCCCACCGATCGTATTATGCTCGTCGCGCTGCCCCACCACACGCGCATGCCCTGCCCTGCCCTGCGTTGCGCCGCCCCGCGCACGCCCTGCCTGCCTTGCGTTGCGTCACGCTTCCCGCGCACGCCCTGCCCTACCCTGCGCTGCGCCCCCACCCGCGCACGCTCTACCCCGCGTCGCGCGCCTCGCACATGCCCTGCCCTACCCTGCGTCGCGCACCCCGCGCACGCTCTGCCCTGTGTCGCGCGCCCCGCAAACGCCCTGCCCCTGCTGCCCGTCGCGTCGTGCGCCCCTGCTGCCCGTCGCGTCGCGCGCCCCTGCTGCTCGGTGCATCGCGCGCCCCTGCTGCCCGTCGCGCCGCGCGCCCCTGCTGCCCGTCGCGTCGCCCGTGCGGGCTGCCCCAGCCAGCCGCGTCGCCCGTACGCCTTGCCCTGGCTTGTCGCGTCGCCCTTTCGGGCTGCCCTGCCCGTCGCGTCGCCCGCGCGGGCTGCCCTGCCCGTCGCGTCACCCGTACACCTTGCCCTGCCCTGCCCTAAACCCGCACGCGCCCTGCCCTGCCCACGCGCCGCATCTACGCCCTACCCTGCCAGTCGCGCTGCCCGCGCACGCCCTGCCCTGCCCGCGCGCCGCGCGTACGCCCTGCCCTGCCTGCGCACCGACCTACTTCCAGCGCGCCGCCCTACTTTGACCGCGCGCCGCCCTCCTGACCGTGCACCAGCCCACCCTACCCTACGCGCTAACCCTAGTGCCTGATCGCCGCGTCTACGCCCTGCCCGCTATGACTTCTCTTCGTGGTAGCAGTGGGAGTGGTGGCGGCGGCCGTAGTAGCAGTCGCGGTGGAGCTGTTCAGTGGGGAGTTTCTGGCGGTGGCCAGATGCAGCTGCAGCGGCGTCCGCGCGAGACCCTTACGTCTCAGCAGCTTCGTGAGTGGTTAGCTCAGCGTGACCCTGGGTGTACTGCTCGCTGCCTATACGTCATTCGCGGTGTGGATATATTTGCTCTAGACTATGACACTATCCTTACTGCCATGTACGCTTTGCCTGCTGGTACTGAGGGTGACTGCTACCTGTGTGTGCCGCCCGACCCAGGTATAGCGGCTGCTGCTCTAGGTGCTAGTGAGTCTGCTCTCTCTGGTATAGAGGCTGCTGCTCTGGGTGCTAGTGAGTCTGCTCTCTCTGGTACTGCGCCTGCTAAGGCCTTGCACACCTTCACACTTGACTCAGGTGCTTCCCGCTGCTTCTTTCACGGTCACACCACTCCCTGCACCTGTTGCAGTCTCTCTGGCTGACCCCTCCGGGGGCCCAGTTCTTGCACGTTCCTCCACTGTTCTCCCGTGTCCGGCGGTTCCGTCTGGCTCACTGACAGGTCTTCACCTCCCCTCGTTCTCTACGAACTTGGTGAGAACCGCCGTCCTTCAGGATGCTAGGGTTGACACCTTTACCCTTGGAGGACAGCGTGTGGCGATCTGCACGTGTGCACGGACGGGCCGTCACCTGGCCACGTTCACCCGTCGGCCTGGGTCGAGCCTGTACACACTGACTACTGAGCCTCCTCAGGTCGCTGCGTCTGGTCAGGTATCTGCGTCAGGTCAGCTGTCCGCCCCTTGTTCGTGTCGCCTTCTTTCGCACCAGACTCTTCTCTGGCACCACCGCCTTGGTCACCCCTCCCTGCCATGCCTCCGTGGCATGCACTCCCGCCTCCTTGTCTCTGGCCTTCCCAGGTCTCTGCCCCCCCTCCCGCGCTCGCCTGCCCCGCCCTGCCTTCCTTGCGTCGATGGTGGCAGCGCGCCGCTCCTCACTCCTCCTCGTTTCCCCCGACGACTGCTCCCCTGCAGACTCTCCACATGGACGTGTGGGGCCCAGCCCGCGTCAGTGGACAGGGCCGCGAGCGGTACTTTCTGCTGGTTGTTGACGACTACTCGCGTTACACCACGGTCTTCCCCTTGCGCAGCAAGGGTGAGGTCCCTGCTGTCCTGATCCCTTGGATCCGCGCTGTTCGTCTCCAGCTCCGCGAGCGGTTCCGCACGGACTTTCTTGTCCTGCGTCTGCACTCTGACAGAAGTGGTGAGTTCTCCTCCGACCTCTTGCAGGACTTTTGTCAGGGGGAGGGCATCCTCCAGTCGTTCACGCTTCCGGCCTCCCCGCAGCAGAATGGGATTGCTGAGCGCCACATTGGCTTAGTCATGGAGGTCGCTCGTACCTCTATGATCCATGCGGCTGCTCCCCATTTTCTGTGGCCGTTTGCAATCCGATACGCTGCGCATCAGCTCAACCTCTGGCCCCGTGTCTCCTTGCCGGAGACCTCGCCCACGCTGCGTTGGACGGGGGAGGTTGGCGATGCGTCGCGGTTCCGGGTCTGGGGCTCCCGTGCCTTTGTCCGCGATACCACCGCGGACAAGCTCTCCTCTCGCGCTATTCCCTGCGTCTTCCTTGGCTTTCCCACTGACGCGCCTGGCTGGCAGTTTTACCACCCCACCTCGCGCCGTGTCTTCGCGTCCCAGGACGTCACCCTTTAAGAGTCGGTTCCCTTCTACCGTCTCTTCCCCTACCGCACTGCCCCTTCCCCCCCCCCCCCGCCGCTCTTCCTCGCTCCAGGTCCCCCTCCGGTAGACCCCCTCCCCCTCAGGGTCCTGCTCCTTTAGGTGTGTCTCAGGTAGACCCACTTCCCTTGGCTGAGCCTGTCGAGGTCACTTGTGACTCTGGTGCTGCTGGTGGTGGTACTGCTCGGGGTGCTGCGTCAGGAGGTGCTGAGCTATCGGGTGCGGAGCTTGAGCGTGCGGAGCCTGGGGGTACTGGCACTGCTGGTCCAGGAGGTGCTCGTCCTGGGGGTGCTGGAGCTGGAGCCCCTGGAGCTGGAGCCCCTAGAGCTGCTAGTCCTGGAGGTGCTGGCGGTCCTACTGGAACTGGAGGTACTGGGGGTACTGGAGCTACTAGTCCTGGAGGTCCTACAGGTGCCTCGCCACCGCAGTCTAGTCGACAAGGGCCTCTCTCACCACAGCAGCTGCGTGAGTGGCTTGCTCGACGCACGCGCCTTCGGAATGACGCTGCTGGAGCTGGAGGTCCTGCCGCTGGAGGCGGTGGTGCTGGAGGCGCTGGTGCTGGAGGCACTGGAGCTGGAGGCGCTGGAGTTGGCGACTCTGGAGCTGGAGCTGCTGGTCCTGGAGGTGCTCGTACTGGAGGTACTGGAGGTGCCGGAGCTGGTGATGCTGCGGGCACTGGAGTTGCCGGAGTTGGTGGAGTTGCGGGCTCAGGAGCTGGAGACGCTGCAGCTGGAGGCGCTGGAGCCGGAGCCGCTGGAGCTGGAGGCACTGCTGGAGGCACTGAAGTTGAAGGCACTAGCGTTGGAGGCGCTGGGGCTGGAGGCACTGGCGCTGGACGTCCTGAAGCTGGAGGCGCTGGTGTTGGAGGCGCTAGAGCTGGAGGCGCTGGAGCTGGAGGCACTGGCGAAGGAGGCACTGGAGCTGGAGGCACTGGCGCTGGAGGCACTGCCGCTAGACGTACCGGAGCTGGCGGCGCAAGAGCTGGAGGCGCTGGAGCTGGAGGCGCTGGAGCTGGAGGTGCTGGAGCTGGAGGTACTGTGCAGCAGCGACCGTTTCTCTTGCCGCCGCCGCAGCTATCTGAGCTTCCGCCCAAGTCGGTACTTCGTCAGGTTCTTAGTCTTCCTTCGTCCACTGCCCTTCCTCCGGACTCCTCGCTGCCTTCCTGCCCCGTCTCGTTACACTGAGCAGCCAGTCTCCCTTACAGAGCAGCGCGAGCCTGCGTCTCGTCCTGTCTCCCCTGTCCGCACTGTTCGCACAACTCGTCGTGTCCCGCGTCCGCGTCCTCCTCCTGTGCCAGGTACTCACACTATGGCACTTCGTCCTTCCACTGATCCTCGGCTTGTCCCTCTGCCATCTCCTCCTCCTTCCTCTCTTCCTCAGATTCCTGACGCTGACTCTGACCGTGTTCGTGCTGCCAGCCCTACTGTCACGCGTCTGTTGGCTACTGCTGTCACTGACCCGTCGTTTGAGTCTACTGCTGCGTCTGCCTTAGTTGCTGAGCTTGTCGACTTTGCTGCTGCGTGTCGTCTAGACTACGCCGCCAGTCTTGTTGCTGAGTCTGAATCTGTCTGTCCTCCGTCCGTCGGGGGTGAGTGTGCTCTTGGCACGGACGTCCTTGAGGACAGGCAGGAGGACTTTGAGTCTCTTGCGGCTGCTGTACCTCATCTCGTGGCCTGGCTGCTTGCACATGAAAGAGACCCGGATGCACCAGACATCCCGACCTCGCGCTCTTACGTAGAGGCGATTTCGGGTCCCTACTCCTCTCAGTGGCAGACAGCCATGGACGCAGAGATGGCATCCTGGAATTCCACAGGCACCTACGTCGACGAGGTTCCCCCTCCTGGGGCGAACATAGTTGATGGCATGTGGATTTTCAAGGTGAAGCGGCCGCTGGGTTCTCCGCCTGTCTTCAAGGCTCATTACGTTGCACGAGGCTTCAGTCAGCGACAGGGAGTTGACTTCTTCCAGACCTTCTCCCCTACCCCGAAAATGACCACTCTTCGGGTGCTGCTGCACGTTGCCGCTCAGCGCGACTACGAGCTTCACTCTCTTAAACCCTAAGCACAACCTTCTTACAGGGCAGCCTGCACGAGGAGATCTAGCTGCGCCGCCCACCTGGCTTCACTTGGTCGTTCCCTCATGGTACCCAGTGGAGCCTCCGGTGGCCAGTCTACGGTCTCCGCCAGGCGCCTCATGAGTGGCACGACACACTGAGGACGACACTTGCGGCTCTTGGGTTTGCTCCTTCCACTGCTGACCCGTCGCTGTTTCTTCGCACCGACACTTCTCTGCCGCCGTTCTACATCCTCGTGTACATCGACGACTTGGTCTTTGCCACTGCTGACACTGAGGCACTCGCCCTTGTGAAGTCGGAGCTGCAGAAGAGACACACGTGCACAGACCTGGGTGAGCTGCGCAGCTACCTTGGCTTGCAGATCACCCGAGACAGAGCACGCCGCACCATCACCCTGACTCAGTCACACATGGTGCAGCAGGTCCTTCAGCGCTTCGGTTTCCAGTTCTCCTCACCACAGTCCACTCCTCTGCCTACCGGTCACTCGCTCTCAGCTCCACCTTCAGACGAGTCCGTAGAGCCGAGTGGCCTGTATCCAGAGTTTGTGGGCTGCCTCATGTACCTGATGACTTGCACTTGACCTGACCTTGCGTACCCTCTTAGCATCCTGGCTCGCTACGTTGCGCCTGGGAGACACCGGCGAGAGCACTGGGAGGCTGCTAAGAGGGTGCTGCGCTACTTGTGCAGTACATCAGGCATGGGGCTGGTGCTTGGAGGACGGGGTGACGTTGTCCTCACTGGACACTCAGACGCCTCTTGGGTTGACGACCTGGCTACACAGCGGTCGTCACAGGGTTACACCTTCAGCCTTGGTTCCGGCTCTGTTTCTTGGCGGTCTACCCGCTCGTCTTCTGTTCTCAGCTCCAATTGTGAGGCTGAGATCTACGCCACGGCCATGGCTGCACAGGAGTTACGCTGGCTCACCTACCTGTTGACCGACTTGGGAGAGCTGTCAGAATGAACAGGCAGGAATGAGTGAACTAGCAGCATGCAGGAGTACAAGTAGTAAACCCTAATTTGGGTTGTACCCCATATGGGCTACCCCACTACAGCCTAGACAGTATGCAGCACATATGTTTGACACACCCCCATAGGCAAAGTGGGGGAGAACAAGGGGTCACAAGACCAGTCAGGGCAAAGCAAGGCAAAACAGGCTCAGGGTGGATCTCGAGGATTCCACACAAATTCCGAGCACAAGCAAGCGGTCACAAGACCAGTTCACATGCAGGTTTATAACAGAGCAAGAGATACAGTGATCACAACCTAGCAAGAGTAAACATGCAGGTATATATATATAGAGATCACAGTACAAGCAAAGTCAAGAAGTGAGCAAGTGAGGTCCAGTAGGCACAAGGCCCAAAAGAGTACAAAAGCGCTGATGGTCACAAGGCTGGAGCGCCTTGGTGAACACATCAGCAGTGTTGGCCTCAGTGGCCACGTAACGCAGACAAAGCTGACCACGCTGCTGTAGCTCTCTAGCCAGGAAGTACCGCAGGGCGATGTGCTTCGTTCGGTGCTCCAGTCTGTGCTCCTCACACAAGGCAATGGCAGCCTTGTTGTCGACGTACAGCACTGGAGGAGAACGAGGCCTCTCTCCCAAGTCGGTCAGCAGGTAGGTCAGCCAGCGAAGCTCCTGGGCCGCCATGGCTGTGGCGTAGATCTCAGCCTCGCAACTGGAGCTGAGAACAGACGAAGAGCGTGTGGAACGCCAAGAAACTGAGCCAGAGCCAAGGCTGAAGGTGTAACCCTGAGACGACCGCTGAGTAGCCTGGTCGTCCGCCCAAGAAGCGTCTGAGTGTCCAGTGAGCACAACTCGGTCTCGCCCTCCAAGCACTAGCCCCATGCCCGACGTACTGCACAAGTAGCGCAACACCCTCTTAGCGGCATCCATGTGCTCCTTTCTGTGACGGCCAGGAGCGACATAGCGTGCAAGGATGCTAAGAGGGTATGCAAGGTCAGGTCGAGTGCAGGTCATCAGGTACATGAGGCAGCCCACAAGCTCTGGATACGGGCCACTCGGCTCTACGGACTCATCCGAAGGCAGAGCTGAGAGCGAGTGACCGGTAGCCAGAGGAGTGGACTGAGGCGAGGAGTACGTGAAGCAGAAGCGCTGGAGAACCTGCTGCACCATGTGTGACTGAGTCAGGGTGATGGTGCGCCGTGCTCTGTCCCGGGTGATCCGCAAGCCAAGATAGCTTGTCAGCTCACCCAGGTCTGTGCACGTGTGTCTCCTCTGCAGCTCCGACTTTACGTAGGCGAGTCCTGCAGTGTCAGCAGTGGCAAAGACCAAGTCGTCGACGTACACGAGGATGTAGAACGGCGGCAGCGAAGTGTCGGTGCGCAGAAACAGCGACGGGTCAGCAGTAGAAGGCGCGAACCCAAGAGCCGCAAGTGTAGTCCTCAGTGTATCGTGCCACTCACGTGGAGCCTGGCGGAGACCGTAGACCGGCCGCTGAAGCCTCCACTGGGTACCAGGAGGAAACGACCCAGTGAAGCCAGGGGGGCGGCGCAGCCAGATCTCCTCGTGCAGGCTGCCCTGCAAGAAAGCAGTGCTGAAGTCAAGTGAGTGAAGCTCGTAGTCGCGGTGAGCGGCTATGTGCAGCAGCACCCGAAGAGTAGTCATCTTCGGGGTGGGGGAGAAGGTCTGAAAGAAGTCTACTCCCTCTCGCTGACTGAAGCCTCGAGCCACGTAACGCGCCTTGAAGACAGGCGGAGAACCCGGCGGCCGCTTCACCCTGAAAATCCACATGCCACTGACGATGTTCGCCCCAGGTGGGGGAACCTCGTCGACGTAGGTGCGTGTGGACTTCCAGGAAGCCATCTCTGCGTCCATGGCTGTCTGCCACTGAGAGGAGTAGGGACCCGCCATCGCCTCAGCGTAAGTGCGCGGGGTCGGGATGTCTGGTGCATCCGGGTCTCCCTCAGGGGCAACTAGCATGGACACGAGGTGGGGCAAAGCAGCAGCAAAGCACTGGAACTCCTCCTGTCTGTCCTCAAGGACGTCCGTGCCAAGAGCACACTCACCCCCGACGGACGGAGGACAGGCAGACTCAGACTCAGACTCAGCAACAAGGCTAGCAGCGTAGTCTAGGCGACAGCGAGCAGCAAAGTCAACCAACTCAGCGACCAGAGCAGACGCAGCGGCGGACTCAAAAGTAGGGTCAGTGACAACTGTGGCGAGAAGACGCGTGACAGTGGGACTGGCAGCACGACGGGAGTCAGACTCCGGGTCAGGAAGAGTAGGTAGAGAGGACGCAGGAGGAGACGGCAGCGGGACACGCTGCGGAGCAGTGGAGGGACGCAGAGTCATGTAGTGAGTGCCAGGGACAGGAGGAGGACGCTCACGTGGGACACGACGACCAGTGCGAGCAGTACGAACAGGCGACGCAGGACGAGACGCAGGCTCACGACGCTCTGAAAGGCCTCCGGTGGGACCAGTGTAAGGAGAGGGACGAGGAAGAGGCGAGGCAGGCGGTAACTGTGACTGCGACTGGACAGGCGGAGGACACTCTACGGAGGGAGGAGGACAAGGAGGAGGAGCCTGACCAAGAACCTGCTGAAGGAGCGGAACGAAGTACGGTCGCGGCCGCGCAGTGTCTCCAGAACCAGCAGAGACACCAGCGGCAGGGTCCTCAGTACCAGCAGCAGCTCCAACTCCCGGGTCCTCAGCTCCAGCAGCAGCTCCACCGCCCGAGTCCTCAGCACCAGCAGCAGCGCCACCGCTCGGCTCCGCAGCACCAGCAGCAGCTCCACCGTCCGGGTCCTCAGCTCCAGCAGTAGCTCCAACGCCCGGGTCCTCAGCACCAGCAGCAGCTCCACCACTCGGGTCCTCAGCACCAGCAGCAGCGCCACCGCTCGGGTCCTCAGCACCAGCAGCAGCTCCACCACTCGGGTCCTCAGCACCAGCAGCAGCGCCACCGCTCGGGTCCTCAGCACCAGCAGCAGCTCCAACGTCCGGGTCCTCAGCACCAGCAGCAGTGCCACCGCTCGGGTCCTCAGCACCAGCAGCAGCTCCACCACTCGGGTCCTCAGCACCAGCAGCAGCGCCACCGCTCGGGTCCTCAGCACCAGCAGCAGCTCCAAAGCCCGGGTCCTCAGCACCAGCAGCAGTGCCACCCCCAGGGTCCGCAGCACCCGGAGCACCACTCCGAAGACTGCAGCGTCGCGTGTACCACTCTCGGATCTGCTGAATGGGGGGGAGCTCCTGGGTAGGAGGGGAAGTACCGGGACGAGCTCCAGCAGCACCTCTCCGGAGGCGGCAGTACTCGAGGTACCTCTCCTGCAGCTGCTGGGAGGAGAGGGCTCCTCCAGGTGTAGCACGCTCAGTCTCAGTACCCCCAGACTCCGCACCCCCAGGCTCAGCACCTCCAGGCTCCACACCTCCAGGGTCCGCACCTCCAGGCTCAACACCCCCAGGCTCCGCACCTCCAGGCTCAACACCCCCAGGCTCAGCACCCCCAGACTCAGCACCCCCAGGCTCAGCACCCCTAGACGCAGGACGAGAGTCAACAGCTACCTCGACAGGCTCAACCGGGTCTACCTGGGACACACCTGAGGGAGCGGCACCCTGAGGGGGGAGGGGGTCTGGTACCTCAGCACCTGGAGCGAGGAAGAGAGGCGGGGGGGGGAGCGGGGCAGTGCGGTAGGGGAAGAGGCGGTAGTAGGGGACGGACTCGTCAAAAGTGACGTCCTGAGAGGCCAGGACACGCCGCGAGGTGGGGTGGTAGAACTGCCAACCAGGGGCGTCCGGGACAAAGCCAAGGAAGACGCAGGGGACAGCGCGACGGGAGAGCTTGTCCGCGGACGTGTCGCGGACAAAAGCTCGGGATCCCCAGACCCGAAAACGCGACGCATCGCCAGCCTCTCCCGTCCAACGCAGTGTCGGAGAAGTCTCGGGCAAGGAGACACGGGGCCAGAGGTTGAGCTGATGCGCAGCGTATCGGACTGCAAACGGCCACAGAAAGTGGGGGGCAGCCGCATGAACCAAGGAGGTACGAGCGACCTCCATGACCAAGCCAATGCGGCGCTCAGCAACCCCATTCTGCTGTGGAGAGGCCGGAAGCGTGAACGACTGCTCAATGCCCTCCTGCTGACAGAAGGCCTCCAAGAGGCCAGAGGAAAACTCTCCACCTCTGTCAGAGTGCAGACGCAGGACAGGGAAGTCGGAGCGGAAACGCTCACTAAGCTGGAGACTAGATCTGCAAATCCAAGGGATCAAGACATCAGGGACGTCACCCTTGGTGCGCAAGGGGAAGACCGTGGTGTAGCGCGAGAAGTCGTCAACAACAATCAGGAAGTACCTCTCCTGACCCTGACCACGGACGCGGGCTGGGCCCCACACGTCCATGTGGAGCGTCTGCAAAGGAGCAGTCGTCGGGGGAAAGGAGGAGGAGTGAGGAGCGGCGCGCTGCCGCCCCTCGACACAGGGAAGACAGGGAGGAGCAGGTGAGTCGGGAAGGGGAGGGAGCACCCTGGGAAGACCAGCAACAAGGTCCCGTTTGTGCATGGCCCGAAGGCGCTACACAGACGGGTGACCAAGGCGGTGGTGCCAAAGGACAGTCTCATGCGCCAGAGAGCGAC